ACATTTTTAACTAAATATTTCTAAATAACAAAGCGAGGATGAGCTACAGCAGAGTTTTACTCTATGCACTGAGGGAAGAGAAGGCGAAGCAATCTCTGCCCGTCCCCCTTATCACCACGCACACTTGTAAGTTGGCCACACAGCTTCACTTGGCACTCCAACTGCATCTGCACCGCTTGGTACTTGAAATAAGTAAGTAAATGGGTGCAGATCTGGAAGCCTGCAGGTATCCTTGCCTGAGATTCCTCACAGTGCCTAGAGCCGCCTCATGCCCAAAACCTCCCCTGGATTGCCCCAATTTAGGGTCACCTCACAACTGGGTGCGACTCGCAGGTGCTGGCCGGGCTGTGCCTCAGTTATTGACTTTTTAAAACCCTTTCGCACGCACCTTTACCAGGGCAACCGGGGCTCCCCCTCCACACCCCCCCCACCTCCCCGCAGCCCCCCGAAAGCACCCCGCGCCCTCCTCACCCACTGGCTGCTGAAGTAGTCCAGCCCCTGGCAGATGAAGCAGGCGAGCTGGGCCAGCAGCAGCTGCACCCCCAGCGAGCTGCCCAGGCAGTAGAGCCCGTAGAGCAGCGGCCCCCCGGCGCCCAGCAGCAGCAGCAGGCGGCGGCGGCGCAGCACCTGCTGGCCCAGCGCCTCCACGCCGTAGTTGGCGAAGCAGGCGGGCAGCAGCAGGGCGGCCAGCAGCACCGGCGTGCCGGAGCGCTGCAGCCGGCCGAGCCAGCGGCGGCCCAGCGCCGTCAGCGAGCTCTTGAAGGGGTGCAGGAAGGTGCCGCACAGCACGGCCCAGAGCAGCGGCCGCAGGAAGGCCTCCAGGATGAAGTAGACCAGCACGGCGGCGCCGCAGCACAGCCCGGCGAACAGCAGCGCCCCGGTGTTGTAGAAGGCCTGCTTGATCGGCTTCTCCAGGCGCGGCAGCGATACCCCCGGCACGCCCGGAGGGGTGCCCAGCGGCAGCCGCGGCGTGGCCGTGGCCCCGGTCCCGGTCGCAGCCCCCCGGCCCCCCGGCGGCTCCCCGCGGCCGGCCATGGCGCCCCGCAGCCCCGCTGCCAGGGGGCGACGCCACCGCCGCCGCCGCCAGAGGCTCGGGCGAGGGCGCGGGGAGGCGGCCGGGGCCGGAGTGCCGCCCTGTGGGGAGGGAGGGTGCCGGGAAATGTAGTTTTTTTCCACACGAGGAGGCCGCTCCGGCCCCTTTTTGGCTTTTTTTGGGCAGCTCCAGCCCTCGGCTGTGGCGCTGTGGGGCAGCGCTCCGTGCGCTGCCCCCCCCCCCCCCTCACAGCCCTCTCCTGAGGCGGAGCAGGTTTCCCACCTCTGGCGTGCAGCAGACGACAGCTCATGTTTTACAGTCTGAAAGCCTCAATAAACATGCTTGCTCTGAGTTAAGTTTCCTGAGTGCTGAGACCCCCAACAATCCAACAGTTTTCCTTTCACACCCCCCAAGCAGCCTTCACCCCGCTACTGAAGCCAGCGGTGATGCCACCACAAAGCCTCCCTAGCGATCTTCCCCTTTCCTTCTGAATAAGAAATGTGACACAATGCAGAGGTGCATGCCCCTGAACATACAAAAACTCCAATTGATTTACAAATTTAATATTTACATACAATTTTAATGTTACGTAGCATCACGGTAGACCTGTGCCCACCAGGACCTCAGCCTTTCTGGTATGCTGTAGATATCCCCAGGCTGAAATTACTCCGAGCACAACTCTTTTCAACATATAAAATAGGAAACTATTTCGCCCTTTTTAAAGGCAGAGCAGTAAAGACAGCCTAGGAGTGCTGCAACCTATCTGTCCCATTGGCCCAGGAGGGAAGGACTCCGGTTTTTCCCACACTTGCCGTAATGTGTTGTGTCCTGCAGCCCTAGGTGGGGCAGGACCCAGCCAGTTTCTGCGAGCTTTTGGCTCGCAGTCCCTACTCTTCCATGCTGCAAGGGCTTTGCTGCCAGTTACACGCCCATTCCTGCTTGCAGAGGGCCCTCTCGGCTCAGGCAGCTGTTTTCCTTTGCCAAGCAAACCATGTGCCAGTTCAAAGGACTTTAATTTCATGCAACTGAGGCATTTAGAGACCTACAGGTACCTTGTTTGATCCTGACGGGGATGATGCATTATGAGCAGCTGTCCGTAGGAGAGAGGAGCTTTTACTGCACCTGAAAATGATACTGTCACTCACTGCTCTTTGATCAATTACAACTACCTTTTGGCAGGGCGCTGAAATAGGTAACAAGCGCACATCGCTCTCCCAGTCCTTTTCTCTTTGGTTCCTGCAGACAGGAGGAAGCATGCCAAAAAGAGACTCTAATGGCTCATTATAATACATCTATTGCATTAAAGTTCAATTAGCAAGTGTCAGCCGAGATTTACAGAGGGGGAGAGTTGAGAATACAAATCTTTCCATTAGATACACAGAGATGCTGGCAAATCGAATCTTCATAGGCACATCGTTACTCCTTTGATTCTTCTTAACAGACACAGGCAGTCATGTTCTTCACAAACCAAAATTAATGTCACCTCTTTGACTTGAGTGAGGCTATAAATACTGACTTCCACAAGCTGAGGATTTGGCCCCTACTGTAGAAAGCCTTTCCTATCCAACTGTATTTCACTGTTCATTATAGACAACTAAATACACCAGAAATTTAAAACACAAAACAGAAAAATCAATGAAATAAAGATTGCTATCTCATGTGTATCTCACATATTGCAACACAAACACTTAAGAACAGGGAGATGAATATCAGGAAGCAATCTCTGAGGTGACAGCTCAGGGAGGATCTTCACAAAACACATCTCAAGGTCTGAAAACTTAATTCCACAGCAGATTTCAAACAGTGCCTGCAGCCTGAACCTCTGGTCTTGTTTAAGGTTGAAGTGCAATGTGATTTTAGATTCAATGGGAAGCTAGGTATAAATTGCACTGACAATTTGTGTTTTCGGCATTCATATGGCCATAGGTGCCATCAGGAACGATGGAAAAGGAACTCTTCTGTGGCAATACAGAAAACATGTACGTGCCTAAAAATACCCCTGTGGTAAGTATCGATGGTCCTTGATGCTCTGCTACATAGAGTAATATAAAGTGAAATATTACCTAACAAATAAGTAAGCTTCTCACTTCTATCTGCTGCTGCATTAGTGCCCATGACTGTGCATGTGCTGAATTGAAGCTGTTTGAGTCTTCTCAGAAACAATTCCAGGCACCCACCCACAGTTCTTATTCACTGCATGTGCAGCTACAAGTTCCAGGCTGCCTTAAAAATGCTACCAAAACATGGGATGCTGAGGTGGCCAGGAAGCACGGCAGACAGACAACAGCAAGTTAATAATGATTTATACCTGTAATAACCGCAGGAAACTATGCAATAGTTCAGTAATAAAGCCACCAGATGTCAGCACTAGCCTGTACACTTGGAAAATAAGTCTTGAGAAATCTTTTTTTTTTTTTTAAGCTCTGTATAGCTCAATATTTGTGATCACTCAGCTGGGGTTAATCTCGTTTCATTAATTCACCGCAGTTTAATAGAAAAGTAATCTCTTCAGATGAGTGAAAAAAATATTTAAACCACTATATATTCAATAAGAGCAGGACCAAAGGAATAAAATATATGTAACCCTTTAAGTTCATCATTTGGATGTAAACCTTGTATTTTTAGGTGACCAGCACATTCCTTTGTATTTTAGCCTACAGGAAAAAGTTAATCTTTTATGCAGATTCACCCGATTGACTGTTGAAGTGAGATGACTCCAAATTAAATATTATTTACAAAATAGTGGTGAAAAGAAAATGAAAGCCAGCCCTTAGGAGCAGCAGGTCTGGAAATACCCAATGATTACAGCAGTGACTGACTGCATTGTGGAAACAACTTTGTTCAAGGGCTCTGTTAAAGTAAATGGCATTACCAGTGCATAGCACTAGAACTATTCAGGGGCAGAGTCTTGTTAAGTTAATGAGGGGAATCAAATGCACGGTGGTAAGGCACAGCGGTCAACAGCATCAACAAAAAGATGTGCATTCAGTGGGCCAGCACACAAATAATCTGGGATGGACAAGATCTAGAGCACTATCTCTCAGGGTTAGCCCACATGGCAGCTGTGTGCTTGGAACAAGAGCTGGATCTACACCGACCTGAGTGACAGAAGGGTATTTTGGCCTTGTCCAGTTTGTGACAAAATGCCTTACTAATCATCATACATTACATGGTGCAACATGGAGTAAGATCTAAGACCTGCTGTTGATCCTGACCGCTTGTATTGTGCACAAGCAGGAGATGCTCACGAGACCCACCCTTTCTTGCATTGCAGGCTGCAGCTTCAGGGTAGCTAGCAATACTGCATACACAAACAGAGCACACACCGTAAAAGCACTGTATTTCTTGGTGCCTTGAGCCAATTCTTCTCAGCCTGTCAGCAAAGAGCTAGAATACATACCCAATCTTGAGAGATCTTGGAAATTGAAGCTTCCCTTTTTGAGAAACTTCTAGAGCTGCTGTTGCTTGCTGACTGCTGAGACGTCCTCCCCTCTCCCTTTCCAATCTCCAGCTTAATTTCATCATCTTTTTTTGCAAAAGCCTGTTCTCACCACTTCAGGAGCTGCTCTGTTTGACCATGCAGTGGGGCAGCAATGACAGCAGGACACCCCAATTTGAAATAGTTATCACGATTGAAGCTGCATCACAGCGGTCACAAACACACAACAGAGGTCACCACAGGAACCCCTGCATTCTTTTTACTTCATTTGTTAAGATACAGATGATTGCTTTTACTTACAGCTTCACAGCAATTCTGATGGTGGAAAGAAAAAAAAAAAATCGTCTCCCACGTCTGTTAAGTTGCTATTGTGACCGGTCTCACTGACTTGCATGGAATTATGCAGGATAAATTCAAGCCCATGGCACGGGAAGGAATTATTAACACAACACAGGGCAGCAGCAGAGACTTTAGCCTCACAGAGAACTTCTTTTTCTCCCTTTTACAAATGCCACACCACACATTTTCTTAGACTAAAAAAAGCATTTATTATAACAGGTTTATAAATATCGTTGTATGTCACTGTCAAATGGCTAAGAAGGCTCACTTTAACACCAACATTTAGTATAAAACAGATGTTACAAAGCAGTATTTTAGGGCATGCATTGATTGTAAAATAGTCCCATAGGTCACCACAATTTCATTATCTATTCATCCAGCGTTATTTTTTCAAAAAGACTACTGCATGAATATAAATAAGTTTGATGATTACTTCTGGACTACAAAGCCCCAGCTCTGCACTCCCACCCAACCAAAAGCTCACCATCTTCAAATGGATGCTGGGTGTTGGCAGACAGAACTGAGCCTACAAAAAGGCAGAATACCAGCTAACACTATACTTACAAAGTGCTTATTTGTGTGTTTTATCTATGTATGTTAGATTGAAGTTTACCCTTGAGAACACTGAACAAAATCAAAAGGTACAGCTGACATTTCAGCTTCACTTTACGTAACACAACACCAAGTGGCAAGAGTTAATGCACTTATGACAGTCTGCTTACTTGCAAAGAGGTTAAGGCAAACCAGACCTCGGGATATATTAATCAGAAATACCAAGACATACCAGGCATCTGTCTTAACCTAAACAGAACTCACCACGCTTCAAATATGTTAACAAAATTTATCTCCCTAAATGAAGGCTGGGGGCATCACGCAGAAGTATCACGGTCCCATTTTCCCAATGAAGTTAATAGGTTTGGAATTTCATCTTAGACTTTTTGTGTCAAGATTTGAGTGATACTTCCAGTTTAAGAGAAAATTATTGCGGTAGTTTTTTCAATTTGATTTTTATCACTGGTTTCATATCACCAGCTATGAAAAACTGAAAAAACAAATCATTGCTTTCCGAATATCTCTGAAGCAGATGTAATATTTTGTGTTTAAACAATAAGCCTTTCTCCTGCTAGATTTTAAACATGACATCTGTGTCTTCTCTCCAATTATCCTAATACTCTATATGACAACATTTCCCTTACTTCTTGAACTGCTTTTTTTTTTTTTCCATCGTATTTATAAAAAAGAAAATAATGTGAGGTTGATTTTTGTACCAAAGAAGTCAACAGAAGTTAGTACATAAAAACTGAAAATATAATACCCTAGTAGGCAACATGTCAGGTTTGCATATATTTTTGGACAATAATACAGAAGAAAATATCACCTACGAGTAAGGGAACATGTAAGATTGTCTTTTTTTTTGTTGTTGTTGGAAAGTACAGCCTATCCATTAGTTTTTAAAGTGCCTTCTATACTTTTCAGATTTGCACACTTACACACTAACAAATTTAACAAATTTACTCTGCCTAAATATTAATTCTGGGAAGTATATTTTTCATTAATACAAACTTTGCAGATCACTTTTGTGAAAAATCAGCAAGGATGTTTTTACTCCTTTGCACAGAATATAGGTGATTTTTTCCTTTGGTTAGTCCTCTACTATTACCATCTCATGAAATTGAACCAAAAGGTGTGAAGCTTAAGAGAGATCTGTGAGACTAAATTCTAGTCCCTCTGATGTAGTGGGAGGTGTCCCTGACCATGGCAGGGGGTTGGAGCCAGATGCTCCTTAAGATCCCTTCCACCCAAGCCATTCTAGGATAAATTCAGTAATGCTCTGAAATTGCTAGTTGCCACGAAACGTTCACTGCCATGAGTAGGCATTTAAGCCATAAAACAATTGCAGCTGTTGAGTACTTTTGAAAATGTTTCTTAAAAGTGCCATAGAAAGTTTCAATCTTGTAAGGACGTTCCTAAATACACTCTAAATGCAGATCAAAATTAGCCTATTCTGAGAAGCAGCCTTTCTACAAACATGGGTGGTGAAGCTCTACATATGCTCCAACCTCACATCAGTGAGAGAACATCCCTACTTCAGTGAGAAACATGGAAGCAAGTTAGAAATTAGTACAATTCAAATTATTTAGCAATCCAAGATAAAAATCTGCCCTTTTCCTTACAGCAGATTCTTTGCTATTGCCATTGCAATCACAGATTTTCAAAGAACGTAATACCTGTTCAGTCTGCTTTTTCACATCTATCGACTCCACGAGCTGCACAAGTCATCCTTAACATTTCAAAATTACACTGATTTTACCTCACTATCTGAGCCCAAATTAGAGAAGTTAAATTACAGAGTACAAACATAAATAGCTTTACCAAACTCAATGTGAAATTGAAAGAGTGACCCAATTGATTTTTTTCATACTAACAGAAGGTGAAGAAAAGGGAAGTTTACCTAGATCTTATTCTGTATCTGCAAAAAAATCAGACATATAAATTGCACAGAAATAGCTAGAAAGGAAAAAAAAAAAAAAAGAAGCGATGAAAAGTTGGCATATGGTAAATAAATATAAATGATTTTCTTTTGATTAATTTTTGTACTCAGGAAATTAAGATTTTCTTTACAGCCATCAACAGGCTTCCAGTTAGATCCCTATCTGAGCTGGGCAGGCTGTGGAAGGACTGCATTAGGCATTATCACACTATTACAGAAATAATGATAATGAAATTTTAATTAGGGGAAAGAGACAATGGACAAAGAAAGCTGTTAAGACTGAGAGCTCCCACCTTCTGAGACTTGAACTGCCACAGCCAAGCAGTTTGCAAAATGGCCAGTGAGCAGGTACGTGTGCGGCAGCCAACTGTTGCTGCTGTGTGGATGGTCCTGATATGTTTTTTTTTTTTTTTTTTTTTCTAAATTTAAGGGCACGATCAAGCCTCTAGCTCAAGCCTTGAAGTTCCCTGGGAGTACATATCTCAAGGCATGAAACTGACCTTCTGCCCACATCATCCCTTACCCAGCTAGGACCTGTATAAAAGTTAAAGTCTTGTTCAAGTCAGATTCTGCACCTTTTCATATCAAGTAGCATTTTCATGTGATTTACATGTGGCAGAGCCAAAGTCATGCACGAACGGGAAGTTTGACGTAACCATCAACCCGTCCTTCTCCTTCAGCCTTACTAACAAACTCTCCACTCTTCTATCCTGAAGCATTGGAGGTCGCCTCTGCCTCATCGTACAGCTCCACTGTTCTTCACACCGTGGCATCAGGGCTGAGATGCAGGATGCCAGTTCATGCAGGGTGTGCAGCACATGCACAATTCTGTGAAGCACCAAAACAACCATAATATTTCAATGTTTCTACTCCTACCATAAATTTAAAGCTCTGGACCAGTTATACCTTGTATAAAATATTAGCACTTTTAGAATCGGCATCTGTAGAAAAGAGTGATATTAGACCTTTTCTAATTCGCTCTGTGAAATATGTTCCCTTCCCCTAAAGCTACTACTGAATGCTCTTCTCTGGGGAAACCGTGTGGAGAAGTTAAAAAAATAAAATACACCTGCTACAGATCAGTGTGGTAAACCAAGGGGTCACAAAATGTAATTTAAATGCTGGTAAAAAGCTACCAGGTATAAGTTCCAGTTCTGCCCCTAGAGAGCAGCACAGTGCAAACCTCCAGCACCACCCCCCAAAAAGAAAAGGTTAGAAATCAGAGTCTATTCCACAAAAGGAGAATAATTTACAATTTACTTCTCTTTAAAGGGGTTTTTAAATGTCTGGTGCATTAGAGGGACAGGAAAGTAAGGATAATTAAAAAGATTTAGGAGGAGCCCTGCCTCTTTCCTCCCCCTGCAGCTTACAGCAGTATTTACTTACAGGTAAGTGGAGTAATGTCCACAGCACAGATTCCTAACCATGACCTGGGTAATCACGAAGACAGCTGTGTTTCCATCATCCTTATCCACTAACTCCTCTTCACAGCTGGGCTAAGACTTCTCAGGATCCAGGTGCTAAATAGCACACAGCAGCTGTGGGAAGGAGTACAGGACATAGGCTAGTGACAAGAACAGCTCTTTTCAGAGGAAAACTGGGCACTGACACTCACAGTAGGAATATCATCCACAATTTGGCAAAAGAAGGTAGACGAATTTAAGGGATTTGGTGTCAGATGGGCCATGCTGTTGGCTATTTCCACTTCACAATAGTCATTGAGTACATGGAGACAGGTGAAGAGCTTTTCTTCCTCGAAAAGGAAGAAAAGGATATATCCATATCCATATATATCCATATCCAGGATATGGAGCCCCAAGCCAGCTTCAGAGCTACCATCAGTGTGCTGATGTGCACAATACTCCAGTTATTCTCTAATTCTTGTGCTAAAGACTGGAAAACTCAGTGCCAAACACAACCTTTGGCAACGTTTAACCCAGCCTGGGGAGGTTCCATCAGATTAAGGCAGCTATAAATGCTTATTTTCTTGCTGTCCAAGAATTGCAAACACAATCCATCAATAAGGACACGGAGGCCTCAGAGGGATTTCAAAATTTCTAATCAATATATTCTCTTTCAAAAACAGAGCAATTCCCTTATAATTAGAGGATTTTGGATGAAAGCTTCACCCTGTATCCAGTGACATTTTAAAATCTGCTAGGCTTTCTTAGGAAGAAAAAAGCCAAATCAGCATCTAGAGGTATCTCAACTATATTTAAAAATAGTTATTTGAATCCATTGAAGGAAAACAACCTTTATAAAGGTCTGTCCTCTCTGCTTATTTTACCCTTCCCTACCCTACTCTTCACTAATTTCACGCCTAACTTACTATTTGTAGTAGAGTACCTATCAGACTCCACAGTCAAAAATCAAAGCCCCTTCGTGAGAAGCACTGTCACCAAGAATCTCATTTCTTTATCAAACAGCTTCTAAGCATGTGTACATTACAGGCAAGGTGGACAGAGCGAGCAGAAGGTGGGATCGTGTTTAGTGTAACAAGCAATGGTCACAACCGAATGTTGTTGCGCGTGGAAAGAATAATATACTCAAGCCTGCTAATTAGTGCTTAGTGGTCTCTTCCAGTGCTATCACTCTAATTAATTATCCTTCTAATTAACATTCAAAATCGAATTTCCAAAGGCCACCATACTCTAAGCGTTACTTTTCTAAACCTTATGTTTCTATATCAGGTCACCCTGCAGCGAGACACTCTCCCTCTCAAAATGAAAGCGTTTTCTAAATGTGCTGCTGCTTGCAAGTAGGCACCATAAGGAATCTAGAAGTGGTTCAATTTGGAGAAGGAGCTTTCTTTCGAAGGAGACGTTTTCCTTTGTTTTATATTGGTACGCATTACATAGAAAAGTCAAAAAAAAAAAAAATGAATTGAAATGCCATATTCACTTTAAAATTACTTTTGAAGAAAGCTGCTTCTTAGTGATTTGGTACAGCAGGGATCAATCCTACTTTTCAGTCTTAAGAAAGAAAACATGAAAAACAAAACACTTCCCATGACAAGTTAATATGCCCACTCAAATGTTACGACAGCAGGTACCACACAAAGTTAAGTACCATTGAATTAAAGCCTTTTCATTTCTCTTATTACCTTTTTGTCCTCATACTTACTCCCAAATACTAATTTCTAAACACTTGCACATTCTTTGTACAAGATTTGTGTTCCTGCTTTTTCCACTCTGAAGAGTGACTCTCAAAGTACCACAATACAACAAACTTTTTTCACTGAAAAGAAAAAAAAAACAAACAAAAAAACACCTTACTGCAACTCCTGCTTCTAATTTGATATTTTCAGCTCTCCTTAAGCTTTCTGCAAAGCATTTAGAGAAAGAATTGTAGCTTTTCTCAGATGTATGAAGTAGTACCTAAAATTTGAGAACAGTTTACTGGAGAGTAGTAACAAAGCTAAACTCAATCATCAACTTAAACGCCAAGTAACAGATTGCCTTGCTGCTTGTTGTGGACTTTTATTTCCTCCCATTTGATTAGAGACGCTTAATTAGTGCTAATTAGGTCCTTTGAAGTTTGGGTCAAAGATTTTTTTTTTTTTTTAGAAGTGCACATTTCTGCTTATACTTCAAAAAGAGAAAAGTACAACAAAGCCACCAGGCAGCACACTTAAAAGTAACCCTTAAAAAAAATAAGAAAAAAAAAAGGAAAGAAAAAAGAAAGAAACTGTATTTCTCCCCTGATTTAGCACTTGGTACAGCTGGGGCCTGAAGCAGTTTCTGCTGTGCACTGGGTATCTCCGTAAGTGGCTGTGCTTCAGCTCTGAATTCGCTGTTGCTTTAGAGCCTGAACTTTCAACCTTGAAGCAGCTCTGACTCCCAGTGGGCTGCCTCGCAGTGGAAAGCAGCTCCACGTGTGTGTTGTACGTTTACCTTGGTATCATTACTGTCATCTTTAACGTACCTCTGAGCCCAGGTCTAGCCAGGCTGCCTTGCATCCAGCACTGTGTTAAAGAAGTGAAGAGGAGCCCAAATGGGCTTCTATCGTACTTCAGTACCTTTCGATTATTAAATTAGTCTTTTAGTGGGTAATCAGGGAAACGCCTGAAACTAAACCAGTAAATTACAAGGCCATAAACCAAAGCAACCCTGAAGCTACTTTAAATAGCTGCAATCTCTGAGAAGGAGCTGTGGTATCTCAGCTCCCGCAACTGCCTACGCTTTAGCATAAAGGAGAAGGAATTTGCCTGAACAATTTCTTCACTTCAGCTGGTTGCTTAATATAAAACTCATTAACCATGACTTCAGCTCTCTGCTTCAGCCGCTCTTATGCCCAAATTTTACAGCCATGATGGTCCAAAGCTTGACCTTCCCATCAGGTGGTTTCCACTAAATATTTTATCAGATAATGAGTTGGTTATTCAGCTTGCAAGAGGTAATTTATACTAAGTAAGCTACTGTATACACTTGTCAAGTTTATTTCCCTCTGAATTCCTCTCTCCCCTCCTGAACTCCAGGTCCAGCAATTTTAGGCAAACAACTCGTTAAAGACATCAATGCAAGTATCACATATTACAAAGTAAGCTTTCTTTTAAAATGGGGGCAAGGGGTTTGTGATGGAGACAAATTCCTTTTCAAACCTATTTTTAAATACTTAAAGCATAGGTTTCAAGAATGCAGAGCCTAAAAAAAATATGTCTATTAGCCTCAGTCTGTGAATAATGGTGCAAACCCAGCAAAGCTAGTTCCTTTTTTTACACTCTATGCAGCAACGAAAATACAAAGGAGGTCCACTGCGTATTTTAACAGCTCCTGCATTACAGAGTCCTCAAGCACACAACATTAGAGAGAGTTTTGGTGCAATGATGCAAGTTGGGAAGTAAGCAAGCAACCTTATCCAAGCACATTCAACTGCTCCATGGATGTGTCATACGCTTCCTGCTAACGAAGCACAGAAAATCTCCACACAAACTCACATTTTTTCAGAGTATTATATGGCTCATAAAATACATTCTGACACTTTCCAGTTTGATAAGATTTAGCATTCATCTTTACAGCATTTATTGGTGATAAAATTTCTGGTGTATTTCCTCTTCAGACCATCTTTTTCTACAGTAACTTCATTTTAGCAATGATTTGATGAAATTAAAGATACTGATCTTTTTATTAATTCCCATCTCTCCTTACAAATAATCTCTTATATTTCCATTTCTTTATAAGCACGCATCAGCTGCCCATATTCGTCTTTAACATGAACAGGATATACAGGCATACAACACAGGAAAAAAAAAAAACATGTTTCTCGGTACTACTGCACAACTACTTAAAAACATTATTTACATGTCAGCAATATCACTGCTTTGTCATAAAAAGAGAAAAAAGGAGTTCATCGACTGGGAGGATATCCTATGGCTTGTTGGGAACTTCTCTGTGTTTTAAACTTGTTTTTCCTATGGATGGGGAATTTAAATAACTGCATTCTCCCTTCCCCTTATTTAAATAACTTCATATCTCACTCATAAAAGAAGTAGCCTTTATTTTCAGGAAGGTTGCTGAAACACTATTGTTATGAAGACATTCATCGCTTCTTCTATACTGAAGAAAAATCCTGTTCATGCTTGATTATGCAAGTTTAGTCTTGGAAAGTACCAGAGCAAGAAAACCTTGATAAATATTAAAAAAATAAATTAAAAAATGGAATTACTGAAGGTTAAGTTTTAAACTGCAGTGTCAGTATTCTGATCTTAAGTTCAGAAACTGCACCTGGGAGTTGTTCTGTATGCACCAGAATTACCAAACAGCACTATAATGTTTTCCCAAATTTGCTTTCTGGGAGCAGTATGGAAGGCAATTTTGTTACTTGATAAGATGTCCATCACTAGGCTCTCCTGAACACACACACAGACACCTCTCCCAAACACACATACACACACGCGTGCACACACACACATTCATTTTACAAAAGTCTTTTCTTCTTTAAGTGAGTAGTCACAACACTGAAAACATTCTCCTACTGTTCACTGATTATTCTTAAATGATTTGTCACCACTCTGCCGCTCAGAAATGGTTACTTCCTTCTTCTGAGAAGCTAACTATGTCCAAAAGCAGCGAGATGATGATGGTGGCGTGATATAAATCCCAATAAAAAACGCATCATCCATCCGTGTATCCGTCCATCCTGAGAAACTTCCACTGACAAATCCTTGCTACTTTCCAGAGGTCACGGGGTTCCCATCAATAAATAGAAGGTCAGTGCAACAATGAGGAGCAAGCAGAATGGAGAAGAAAAGGTCTGATAGGCAGCTGATGGCATGAAAATATCTTCGTACTTGTAAATACTGACCACACGCTCTGATACAGGTGGTGAGTCTATATCATGACGAGTTATAGAACCTTTAATAGGTAAGGGCAGAAAGAAATAATGTCAGGTGCATTTTTTTTTCTATAACTTTGTCAAAGAAATAGGCAGAAAGACAAGTAATTTCCAAACCTAGAGGACCATGCACTGTTACACTGTCAGTGAGTAGTTGTCTGATTTCTGAAATTAAACATCTGAATAAAATAAATGAAATTCAAGTAAACAATAAACACCCCTCAGAGGAATTCAGAACTTCCAGCTGTGAATTATCCTTACTTAAATTTAGCTTTGGGGAGTGGGGATAATAGCTACATACCCAAGAAAACATGACATGGAGGACTCTGCCAGTTTGCTCACCTTCCTGTTTATCCATTCGTAAGCCCGATGCTGCCATAATTTTAGTTCATTAAGAAAGGAGGGGGTCTAGTAAGAGTGATGAAAGGCATTATCATATTTTGGTACCTCAGCTGTTGGTAGCACAGATATTGACTTACCCTGAATGGCTGGACCCCACGCAAACAGGTAGTACCAACTCAAGTGCAGATCTACGATCGTTTCCTCTCGGGGAACATACACGGGACGCTTGAACCGACAAGTTACACGATTGTTTTCAAAAACCCCTTCTTCATCTCTGGCAGGATTTCTCTGGATTTCCTTAGCCCACTGGCCTACGTTATAGAAGTGCTGTATTCGGACTCTTCCGTTGTCATCATGGACACAAGCCATGACATCATCTCCACCCTACATGGTAAAAACATTTAGGTAGAAGGAAAACAAAGAGCGTCACAAAGCATTTCCTCATTTATATAGATAATTTTAGCTATTAAAAACAAAGACACGGGACTCTCGTTCTCTTTTTCTTAGTTATGTATACACAGATAGTCTTTTCCCAGCAATGTCTCTTCATCTAGACTGAACAGCACAGAGTAAATATATGCTTACCCTTACTGTCTCTGCATTTTCTTCTGGATTTTTCTAAGATCCATAACAACCTAACATACATAATCTATTTGTAGACATGGTATTGCCCTGACATCACGCAATTAATTGACCGGTAGAAGGCTGTTTTCTTCTGTACCATGTCAAGTTCTGGGATCCTGCTTCAGGAAAACTGGCAGCCTTGAACCCTTGCTGTGTGCAAAACCCACTGCATCAACATCACGGACAGAAAAGCAATCTAACTTAATAAGATAGAGGAGATGAATCTACTCAGTCTGGGCAAATAATAGCATCAAGTACAGTCTGTCTTTTCTAATCTCTTGTCATGTTCACTTACAAGAATATCACTTCTCAGCTATCTTAAGAGAAAACACAAAATGTTCATCAAACAGTGACAGAATAGAGAATACCACACAAGACAAGGAAAGGGTAGTTGACGTGTGCTTCTCCCCATAACATACACAGCCACCAACCAAAGAAAGGACAGAAAGAAGTGAGACAATTATTCCTATAGGTCATTCACAGAAAGATTATACAGTTATTGGAATGGTTATTCAAGGTAACTGTCATAGTGGAGCACTCAAGAATTAGCATTAATTTTAGGAGTGCTATCTTGTAGAAGCCCCAGTGTCAAGGTCCATCCAACCACCGTGCAAGTTTGATGTGTGGCATTTCACTGAATGCCACTGCTGTGGGGATCCGCACCGTGTTAAATGCAGGTCCTGCTTCTACAACAAAAATCTCTCTGATAGGACATGCTGATGACACAATCAATGCTTGCTAGCACCATCTCTCAGTTTTTTGTTATAAGGAAAAAGGTGCAGTGCAACTATTCCTATGTAAATCTGTATAAGACATGCCAAAAGTGAAGGGAAAAGGGAACAGCTAGGTAAAACACATGCTTGAACACTTTTTGCACCTCAGTACTGCTGCGGGCGACCTTTCCAGGTTCTGTCCTGAGCCTGTCACTGCTTTCCATAACTTATTTGCCACGTTTACATGTTGTACCTCTGAGCACCAATGCCTCATTTTTAAGTACAAAGAGTTTTCACAGCTTTTCACGAAGAAAGAAAAAAAATCATTTTGAACCTCAGCAGGCAAGGAAGTCCACAGGTGCAAAAGCATAATGTTATTTGAGGCAAAGAAATAGGTCATAGGACTTTTTAAAAATCTACTGAGAATCCAATGTACTTTTTTTTTCCCCTGAACTTCTCTATTCAGGCCACAGCACTTGGATTAGGGCCTCCAAGGTACAGCCTGCTTCTCACAGCCAAGCTGTTTCAATGGAAAGTCATTTTTCCAGTAAAGTCTGTGTATCCCAGGACACCAAATACTGCATTACACAGGATGGGTGAGGGATGTGACAGAAAGCTTGCCAAGGTAACACTAACAAATTGATAATCATACTCATAACTGATCATCTCTTTAAAGTCTGTCTAACTACTGAAGTTCAGTGTCTTTGCTTTAAAGCAGTGGCGAGGCAGATCTACTGCAGGTACATCAGAGTTACAAATTGGTAAATGATCTCTTTACAACTTGAGGCCAAAAGTTTAAAGCTGCTCAGCTGCTCTGAAAAACCTATTGAATACTTCCACTTCTAGGCATCTAAACTCCTCCCAAAATTTAGCTGTAAAGTTGTTCCTCACAACATTAAACATGAACTGGTTCTTACAACATGAACAGCTCTTTATGACACAGAAGATTGCTATCCTTACTGTGCTTATTTGCAGCATCATACTAAGGCATAGTTATTAATGAATGAAAAGCACCTACCCTTGCATTTTCTATTTCTCATTTTGGGTCTGAAAAAAGGTTGTTAAGTCTGTGCAAATCTTCACATTGCTTTTTGTGGCTCCTAGCTCAGGACTTCTAAGCTGTCTTTTTTCAAACTACTGCTTCCAACTATACATAAAACACTCCTCTCTTCTGACTTGTGATATAGCACACAGACTCAGTATTTTCTGATATGCTCAGGAGCGTTTCTGTACAAGCACACCCACGTTATGAACTGCACTTTAAACATTTTATAAAAAGCACAGTAAAACATGTGATGGTGGTGAGGCACTGGCACAGGCTGCCCAGAGAAGCTGTGGATGCCCCATCCCTGCAGGTGCTCAAGGCCAGGCTGGATGGGGCTTTGGGCAACCTGGTCTGGTGGTAGGTGTCCCTGCCCATGGCAGGGGGGTTGGAACTAGATGGTCCTTAAGGTCCCCTCCAACCCAAACCATTTGGTGATTCTATGATATTGTCTATTGCTCAGTTATTTTTACAGTCCATACATTATATATACGTGCTCCTGTTTTGCTCAGTGAAACACAACGAAAAATAAGGCTTTTGAATGAAAAAGTAAGTAAAAGAATATGCATAAAACCACAGACAGTAAAATCCATGAGAGATAGAAGAAGAAATCTTAACAAGATTGCTTACTAGATAATGTATATAACTGAGTAGCAGCCATTTATTCACACCTTTGTGGCTTTCCTGGAACAACACACAGGTACAAAAGAAGAAAAAAAAAAATCCAAAGTTTAGCAGTGAAAGCCATATTTGATTTGTACCTCTGAAAGTGGAAGATTTCCTGAAGAATAAAATTATTTGCTATTTAGTTTTGGATGTACCTTTTGCGCAAGTAACACTGAAATAAAATACAACAGGACATTCCCACAGGAGTTGGCTTATGTCTGAGGGCTTTTCTAATAAAAAGACCAAAAGCTAGTAACATTCGGACAGTCAGAGCTAACCTAAAATGCTACTATAATATTTAGTTAAGAAGGGAAAGGACATGTCAGTAAGGATGAGGCAGTTTTTTGGGAGACAGCAGACCTGGCTACTGCTCCTGGATGGCTACTGAATGGTGCTTTGTTGTCAGCAAGTCAGTTTCTCCTTATATGCTCTGTCTCTGACAGATAAAATATAAACCATTTGTGTAATAGCATGTGAAAGTGTGTACATTGTCAACATAAAGAGTCTTACCATTTTCTTGTCTGAAGAAAACCCCACTGCCACCCAGCCATCCGTATCGGCACTCAGCTCAAACTCAACATCAGCTCCTATCCTCCGGTAACTCAGGAAATAGTCACAGGTCTCTGCATTACATCCAGGTTTACCATACCTAAAGGGAATGGGAATTGCATGTAACCTTTCTTTTCAATTTGCTGCTATGGAGTTGATTATATTTCTGCAAGAAAATCTAAAAGAATGTATTTTGGTATAATGGCAGTAAAACATTTATTATGCTATACTGAAGTAGTACTATTAATTGTTCGCAACTATTACTTTTTTACAATCATTATGGCAATAAATGAATTACACATATCATCACTCTGTAGTCCTTCTGAGGCCTTCTTTTGTAAATGCCTCATGAAAATGAAAGAAACATTAAACAGTCTAGTCTGTAGCCATGACGTATATACTTAAATAACTGTTTCCTCAAATAATGTAGTCCATAATTATAAAGTATGTTCTCAAATAATAGACTTTTTTTTTAATGAATATAGAAAAATGGCCAAGCTCTCAAGAGCAATCAGTCAGCATTTGCAAACGTAAAGGTACCTGCATTTTTATCTCAGACTGACCTGAAGCATCCCTTAGTTTTTCCACAGTCATCCACTCTGATTTTTGCAAATGGATCCACAGGAGGTGCAGTAGGGAACGGGTAACCTGTAAAATGAGAACAAACCATTACCAAATAAAATACAAGGCGTAAAAAGCAGTAACACTGAAGAGAAAGGGTTCCGAGAGTATATACTTTGCTAAGAACTGAGCTGTATTGACACAGGACTACTTTGTCACAGGCACAATCCCTCAATCAGAGGGTCCTGATGTCAATGTAACAGAGAGGAATGAAAACAAAATTTTCTCAGGTTTGCAATGAAGAAGGATGCTGGAGCATGGCTTTGCTGCAGTGAGGGCGTGAGGTTTTTCACAGACAATGTCACGTTATGGCAGCATGAACACAGCGTGGGGCAGTCAGCTAATGGACAGGGATCTCCACTGAGCAAGCTCCTCGTGCACTCCTAGACCCCTTGGGAAACCTGTAAGAGAACTAAGTCTGACTCCTTAGCCACAAATGATGGTAGTAAGTGTAAATCCAGGGCACCAGGCTCAGAACTGTAGGAATGGATGCCGAAAGGACCTCACAATACGTTTTCCTTACAATACTCTCCTTTCAAAAGTAAATAAAATACGCACTGGATTAGAAGGTAGGCGTATCAGAACTGGGAACTGCCTGCGGTGATGGCCTGCAACCACCTGTCAACTAAGACACAGAAGAGCCAGACACTGAGGGATTCATGACTCCAGGCAACCACCTATCTGCTCTACAATAATACACAGAAGAGACACCGACACGCCTGCAAACAGGACCTTTCCCCTCCTGCCTTGTAGACGCTAGGTTTTGACCCACCCCCCTTGACATTTATATCTATTATTTTACTTACCCAGCTGCAAAACAAAACGCACCTAGCCAGACGCAAACCCCATCACACGCAAGATCAGCTTAATAATTACGAAATACAAGCAGCAGGGCGGGACGGGGCTGTGCCCGATGGCGCTGGGGGGGTCCCCGTGCTGTGGGGTCCCCGCTGTTGTGGGGTCCCCGCGCTGTGGGGTCCCCGCAGGCTCCGCGCAGGCCGCGGCGGGCAGAAGATGGCGGCGGGCGCTGGCCTTCGTGCTGAACAACGCCGCCGCCGCCAGCCCCGCTCCCCACGGCTCCCCCATGCCCCGTCCCGTCCCGTTTTGTCCCGTCCCATTTTGTCCCGTCCCATGCCGCCCAGTCCCGTCCCGTCCCCGCAGCGCACCCTCCTCGGAGAGGTAGCGCAGGTCGTAGAACTCGCTGGCGAAGGTGCCGTACGAGGAGTCGTGGGGCGCCGCCTCGTCGCCCGGCTCCCCGCCGCCCGCCTCCCGCCGCCCTCCGCCGCCCTCGTCCGCCGGGCTGGCGGTGGAGCCGGCCATGAGGAGCAGCAGCAGCAGCACCAGCAACAGCGGCACCGGCACCGGCAGCAGCCGCCGGGCGCCGCGGCTCCGCTCCGCCATGGCGGCGGCGGGGCGGGGAGGCGGCGGCGCCCGAGCGCGCCGTGAGGGGCGGCCGCCCCCGGCTCCTGCGCCACCGCCACCGCCACCGGCACCGGCAGCGGGGAGAGGGCAGCGAGGAGCCGGGAGCCGCCCCGGGGCTGAGGGGGCGATGGGGAAGGGGACGGGGAGGTCCCAAAAGCGCCCCCGCGGGAGGGAAAGGGGCGGCCCGGCGGGGAGATGAGGGGTGGGCGCGGGGTGGTGGGGTAGGGCTTGTGGTGTGGTATTGTGTGGTGTGGTGGTGTGTGGTGTGGTGTTTTGTGGTGTTGTGGTGGTGTTGTGTGGTGTTACAGTGTTGTGGTGTGGTGTTATGTGGTGTTACGGTGTCCTGGTGTGGTGTGGAGTTGTGTTTCATCAAGCAGTGCGGTGTTATGGTGTTGCGTCATCATCTTGTCTAGTGTGGTGTGTCCTCTTCTATTTATGTCCTTTTTTTTTCCAAGATTTCTCAGACGGGATCACAGAGCACCACGGCGTAACGTCCACCCCAGGTAACACCAGCTGCTCCCCGTCCGGCCGTGCGTCCGTGCTTGGTCCCGTCTGCACGCCGCGTAACGCGATGGCATGAGTGTGGCTAGCCAGGCACAAGGAGCAAAACCCTGCCTGGGTCTCCAGCGCCTTCCCCAGGCTCCTACAATCAGCCCTGGGCTCGTGGCTGGAAGTCCGGGGTCTGCTGGTGCTCCTGCTGTGCTACCTGTGGGTTCGTGGAGAAGTGACGGCTGTCCAGCCCCGTGCTCTTCTCCAGGGGCTGGGTTGCCGTCTTCTGGTGAGGACTGTAATCGTTTTGTTATCTCGTTATGCATGATGGTGCTTCCCCTTCTAAGAGGCTGAACAGAGACTCTGAGAAACATCGGGTTTGGGAGGGGGATACTGAAGAACATGCCGCGGTCAGCAGTGCTCAGAAAATTAACAGATCCCTCAATTTGCATCGTTCATTTTTTAATACCGATGACTGCACTGAGTTACTTTTTGGTGGTGTGCTGAGACTTCCCGAGATCTAGGCTGCATTAGGGGCGAGCTCTTTCCTTCTGGCTGAGCAATCACTTGTAGTCCCGGAGTATGCCCAGGTGCGTCTCGCAGGGGACATTAATTCCCGTCTGCATGCTCCATCATCCAGTGGAGCAGCGTGTGATTTCTCACCCCAAACAGAGGAACGACCACACAGTGGCAAAAAATAAGGTGCAAAAGCAACGTGCAAATTCAACGTGTTCCATAGTAGCCTCTGTAAAAAGCCATGGGTGACCAACACCAAGCTCAAGTACAAAATAATGAGTCGCTTATTCCCCTCTTACGGAGCTTGGAAAACTTTACCAGGCCAATGCAAACAAGCAAACAAACAGCAATAGAAAAAAAACTTATAAATCAGGCTAACAGGAAAATGAGGCTGTGGCTTTTTCTTTCTGGCAATAATCAACTCTGATGAAGGCTCCGCATCTCCTTTTGGAAATAGCTACCCAACTGCTGTAATGCCTGTGAAGAAGCATTTGCTCAGCAAGGGAACAGCTGTCAGCTGCGTGCTGTTTTTCCCTCCTAGGAAACAGGCTTGAGAGCACTTTGATGCAGGCGACGCTTCACAGTAATAGTAAACACCTAGGATATTTATCATGTATTGCTTGCACCTACATGAGAGCTATCCTTTTAAATCTGGCAGCTGAGGTACTGTCTTTGATTGGAGTGAAGCTGGACTCATTAGCTACGCTGAAGACATGGCTAAGAGCCTGACCCTATTGCGTTTGCCTCCCTCCTGTTAAATCCTTAAATTAAAAATTAAAATAAGTCTCGATACTCTTTTTTCTCCTGAAACCTCTTGTGTTCACCTGAAGGTTGTCCCTGTCACAGAAATGGTTTCCTCGTAGGAAGCGGCGTCATATTTAGAATGCTGGAGCACTAATGATGACCCTCATTTTTTTTCACAGAGAAGAGCACAGCGGTGCTTGCAGCGAGCAGGAAGGTCCACAGTGCAACTAATAGCCCTGCCCGTGCGGCAGCACTTTGCAGGACAGATCCTGATGTGATCGAGTAATTAAGGCTGCCATTAAAAAAATACATATTAGCAGAGGGAGTCTAAACTGCAGCTTCATGAGCAGCTTTAATCCTTGAATGTCCAAGTTGCCTGAATGCCGTTCTTTTCAGCTTGCATGTCCTGGTGACACCTTTCGTAGACAGACACACACACGCCATGAGAGGAAGGCCTTGTGGCTCTCCAACACAGAACCATACAGTCACAATGTCCTGAGTTGGAAGGGACCCCCACAGGTCATCAAGTCCAACTCCTGGCTACACACAGGACTGCTATTGCTTTTCTGCTTCTGTGCATAATCTAGAGGGCTTTTGCCATTTGATACTCCTCTTTTAAAAGGCTCAACTTCCTTACTCAGCTCTTGATAACTTATTACTGTTCCCAATTCACCCCAAAAAGCAGAAGCTGTTTGAGTTCTTACTGCCCGGCCTCTCCCTCAGCATATTCACGCCTCAAAAAGATCTCCTTAAACTTTAGAGCTTCTGGTTATTTACACCAAACCAAGGCGTATTGAAAACCCAGTACGTACCCACCAGTGCTGAGTAACAGAACAGCTGATGGGACAGCAGCTTCCTTGCAATAGCTTGGCAATAATCCGAACTGGAATTTGTGACTCATGCTCAGTTTCCTCAACCCCTTACCACAGTCTTGTACAATACGATAAACACGTTTACCAGTAACTTATCTGAGGCTTGCCTTTATTAAATAACAATACATATTTTCATCAAGAAGTCACTCCTACCATGCTGTAGTTAACTACCTGTGACCACCCAGAAACATGCTTGCAGTGCTAGTAACTTAGACCCAGATACAGGAGAAAATACACTAGCAATTTCTTGCAATCAGAGCTTCTTCAAGATGATCGATGGAGGAAAAAATCTTGAATGCCAATAAATAAAGAATATCTTCTAGGAGGAAAATAAAATATAAGTGATCCCCTTAGAAAAACAGAAAACTACAGAGGAAAAAGAAGTGTGGTATTTCTGCAAGCCTCCAAGCAAAGGGATGCGTGAGCTCTTTGGAGGCATGTTACTGCTTTACGTCCTCTGGAAAGGCAAGAAAATACCAACCCTGAATATGTTATCATCCAAATAAAAACAGCTTTAGATCATTAGATCATCTCTTGCTCAGCATTGGTAAATCTTTCTTTTTCTGCCTACACTGAATTATGTATCTGGTCTCGCTCCAAGGGCAATCATGCCTCTGCAGCCAATACTGCTCACAACAGCACTCTTTCTATAAAATTAATCTACTGTAGGAAAAAAGCAATGTCTCTATGTTCCTTTTTTTTTTTTTTTTTTTCGAAAGCATAACATGAACCAATCTGGAGTCTAAGTCCTGCAGTCTTAGACACTAAATCAGCGTGAATTTTGCTTCAGCAAGCGTTACAGGACCTTCATGAGGTATATTAAAATGGTGCAGCTTTTTTTGTGCTAGTTTACATCAGGCAGCTCATTTATTTTCTCCCAAGACTATGTTTGTGTTTTTTTTTGTTTTTTTTTTTTTTGTTGTTGTTTGTTTTTTTACCTCTCTGGCACTCTTTGCTACCCCAGCATGAATGAAGTGCTGGGAGGTAAAGCTGCCCTGAACGCCAGATCTGCCAGATGGTGGCACAATGTGCACCAGGAGGTTTTGGAGCAAAACTTTCCACATTTTTAAAAAGTCCTTGCTACAAAGAGGCTATTTATAGTGTTATTCTAATAAGGAGCCAAAACAGAGCAGCCTTTTATTAGAATTTGCAATAGAGGGCATTACGCTGAGGCCTCCCCGTGCATAAATACCATTTACTTATTGTGCAAAAATTGGCCCGGAGAGCTGAAAATTCAGCTTGTATTAGCAAAGAGCTCATTTAGGTAGGAATGTCTTAAAGAGTTTAAGCAGCACTGGCAGAATTCAATTAATTCCATGTGCGACAATGTCATTTCATCCTAATTAGTTAAGAATTCAGAAATAAGAATTAAAAAAAAAAAATTCTCTCTCCTGAGACTCCAGAGAGTTATGGGGAAAGTTTTTAAAGTTCTGCAGGTTGGAAAACAAATGTTTAAAACAGCCTTTCTCCAGCCCAAACTGACGGCTCTGAGTGTAAATAAGAGCAGTAATAATAATAATAATAATAATAATTATTATTATTAATAATAGTAATAATAGTAATAGTAATAATATAGCCTTGTCTTCCAGGTGAATATAAGTGGGCAAGAGACATCAGCAGAGAATTCATTCAGGTTTGCTTCTCTGTTGCATTCTGACCACGTACACATCGTCCCCTTGTGAGCAAAAGTTGCAGGAGAGGACACCTTGCCTCAAACAACCCAGGGATAAAATCCTGGGGCTGAGGGAAATTTCTGTCCCATAGGGGACAAGGGGACACTGCCAAGGGATGCTGGTGTCCCACCATGAGCTCAGAGCCCGCAGGATTGAATCGGACAGTGGCTTCTTGGGGAGTTCAGGAGACCAGAGGCATCCTGTTCTGTGTTCACCCACTGAACGTGTATAAACTGATTTTTATTTTATTTTATTTCACAATGAAGCTGTCAGCCCGTTGCAGAATAGATGGAGCAAGACATGCACACACGTGACTGGAAAGCACCTGTAGGACTGCAAGGTTCAGGCTGCTCTGCATTTAAGCAGTAAGACGGTAAAAGCTTCTCAGGGGGTTGGGGTGAGCTACATAGCACTGAAGGGAAATTACAGTACACATTCTTCCCTTTGTCTCCAGCTTCTTTCTTTGCATGTCATTCTCTGAAGTCATTATCTGTGCTCACATGGAAGTCGGAGGGTCAGGTGCACAAGTGGATTTGCCGACTTCAAAATGATCTGTTCTTTCGTTCGTATTTAAAACAAAGGGGAGGCAGTCATACCAAAGGCTTTTGGTACAGTGGAGGTATGCTAATCAAGAAGAGTTAAGCCTCTCAGAAGCCTCACTGCAGGCTTTATTAACATCCGCGAGGTGCATAAGAGTCTTTGAACCCTTGATGCGGGAGTGAACTAAGCGTAAAACAATTTACTCTGCTGTGAAAAAAATCCCAGAGGTCTACTAATGGCAGAATCACAGCCAGCAGCCTTGGAGAGCCTGAAGATACTGTTTGGAAATGTTTGTAAACAAAGTACGAAAAGAGACATTTTTAAATATTTGACTTAAGTTGTTATTACTATTTAAATTAGCCGAGTGTGGCTGTACTTCTCACAACGCCAGTGAAGTCAGACTTTAACGCAGCTTATTTCTCCAGAGATGTTAGAATATGGGAGTGTTTTGTAAAACACATATGCCACTCGGACTGTGCATAAAAACATCATATCTGAGGGTTGACAGGGGAGAATTTGCCTCCTTCGGAAAGGATCTGTAGCAACAGTTGTTTCTCTTGCTTCTGTTAACCCAAAAAGATCGCAGGGTTGATGAATGGTTGGCATTTTTTGCCTTCATGTGACACCAGCAATAAGTAATATTAAACTTATGTTTTCTTGTTTCTACGGTGCAGGTACATAATATATCCTCGGGTTACTTCAATGTTTTTCATACAGATGCTAACGAGGATAAACCTAATTAAAGAACAGGTATTTAACTGGCCTATCTTCATTTGGCAGTGGGCGTGCACAGAGCAAAGGCTTCAAACAGCCTAAGGTGTACGCTGCGCAGTAGCCCCCTCCCTTACGCTTCAAATAAATGAGAGCATACTACGAATTCAGAAACCATTTCAGCGTGTTGTTAACTTGATGCTTTGATTTTGGCTCTGATGCTGTTGCTATGCCAATTTGAGAGAGGAAAGTAGCCTGTACAGCATTTACTGAAAACAGCGCTCATCAATGGGGGAAAAGGAAAACAGGGGGGAAAGACGCAGACATCGTTGTGGTACTCAGATAAAAAACTAAACTTTTCTGCTCTGACATCCCATTTTCCTGCATGTGCACAGAGCCCTCTCCCTGACCTTGAAACCATTTGCGTTGTCGACACCCCCAAAATGTACCAATGGGTAGCCAAAAGCTGAGGCTTTTGTACTGCTCCCCACAGGCAGCAGCAGTACTCTGGCACCCAGCAGCTTCACCAAACCCAGGCAGTGCTGGGGCAAGGTCCTTTCTCTCCCTGCAGCAGAAGGGCACGAACCCTCAACCCAAATGCTATAAAAGCAGGTGAGCTGGTGGTTGCACATCCCCAAGAGAGATGAGTTTGCCCATTCCCTAACCCGTCTTGCATGCCAGCCACATGCTGAAGAGAGAAAACCTGGAAAACTCAAATTTTTCAACACCCACATTTGTAGGAAAGTACCAGCACTATTTTCAAGTGATCAAATGGCTTTCTCTTTAATTTTGTTTAGGGAATCAGAGTTTCTGATTCTAGCATTTTTCCTCGAACTCATGGCATAATACTGTTCTTACTATATCCAAATGTATTCTGTTTGCTATTGTCCACAGAGTTTAGTGTCATTAGGAAACCAAGTTTTGATACTTCACTTAGTTTTATTCACAGGGGGTTCTGGCTTTTCGCCCCCAGATTGAAGGAAGTTCTCAAAACACAATAAATTCCTGCTTCTGGCCAGCTTTGCCCTGAAGGCCAGGCCATGCTAAAGCTAAGGCTGCCTGCAGCCGCCCCAGCCCTCCACCCTGCTACCCGCGCACACAGGGTGACTCAACGCGTAATGACACAGTCACACATCAGTTTTTCCACTGAACCTGTCCCATTTGACAGCTTGCAATGAATGAAAGAGTTGAGCAGTGTTTATTTTTACCTTAGTCTTTTCTATTCGAGCTCTACTTTTTGGGGCAAGGGAACGAGGAGACCTGCGTAGGCTGGTGATGCAGTGTTGGCATTGCAGCTCCTGGGGAAGAAGGGAGCTCTTCCAGTTCTTCCACAGCACCGTATTTTTGACAGGGACCGCCATCCTGCTCTGTTTTGCAAAGGAACACTGTTACAGGTACTGCAAATGAAACGTTTAGCAGGACAGCTGGCCACAGGCTCCAGAGACACTCTCATGGACAACACAGGCTGTGCTGACACCTGCTAGCTTAACGAAGCATGGGCGTGCAAGCAGAATCACAAAACCAAACATTTATGGTGCTTCCTTGCTCCTCATTTGAGCAATTGACCCTCACACCTTTTACCTGTTTCACTCACTGCTGTCCCTCTGCCATCAGAGGTGCGATCTCCTTGCGCTTCCCTCCTTCCAACCTTTCCCGTGCTGGGGAGGTTGGGCAGGAGGCTGACAGAGGGCCTCAGCGGAGGCTGGGTGCTCTCTGTAATCCCTCAGCACTTTTTTCTCCCCCCAAATTTCCTCTTCAGTGCTAGCTGGCCCTCCGCTACAAGCCCACCCATTCCCCTTCACTACTACCGGGATTACTGGAGGCATCAAGTCTTCCTCTAGCTGTTCACAGCCTCGATGGGCAGCAGCTTCTCACCCAGCAGAAACATTAAACGTGTAACTTTCCAGTATAAGAGCCCTGTGGTGAAACCTTTGCTACATGAAGCAGAGCATTTGGATCCATTCATCCAGTGCTTTCATTCCTCCACTTTCCAGAAGGAGACAATATGATAAACATTTGGGGGGTGTGCAGTGCAATGACTCTTTGGCTCTGTCTGCTCTTGAGGACTCCCATTTCCTCGTGTCAGCTCCTGTTTATAGATCAGTCCCACCAACCTCCATGACAGGGGAGCAGTTCAATCACAGAGGATCTTATCATTCATTAGCACTGTCCAGGTTCATTTATTTCTTTGGCACGATGGGTGAGCAGGCGTGCTGGTTTCCTAACAGATGCAGGCTCCTGCGGTCCGTCCTTGCCTAGCTGTGCATCCTTCAGGTGAGCTGCTCACCTTACGTGACAGGGGCAGATGCCTGAAATGAATTGCAGGGCAGTAAAAAAGGAAAGACCTCCTGAGTGTGGTTGAGTACAGGTCTGCAGGACATCGAAAGTGACTCCAGTTGCTCACTGCTTTGCTTTCGTCGTGTAATAAAAGAAAGTAGAAAGTGATGTCAGGACAACATTTACGGTATCCATCAGTCAAAAAAAAAAAAAAAAAGGGAGGCTTTTTAAGAAACCTTTTCCAATTATTATTCCCACTCACATCTCACAGTGCTTAATTAGGACTCTGCCCATCCCATCTTCTTTCCCCCCAGATTACTGCTCAGTGGGTACCACAGGGGGAACGTCTTGAACCAAAATCATTATTCAAAAGTTATTGATGGTTCCTGCAACACGAGGCCCACGGATGAGATCAAGGCTTCGTTGTTCTAGGTGATACAACCATGCGGATGTCACGAGTGCCCGCTACAAGGCTGGCAGGGAAATGAGACCAGAGATCACAGCAATCTTTGAAATATTACCCCCAGCTGCTTGTTCGAGGATCCGCTAAGCCAGCAGAGTTCCTCGGAGAGTGACATTACCAAAATCTCTCGGTGAGCTGACTCCACAGACTAGAAAGGAAGAATAATATTTCAAATAAGTGGACTGACAGAGTTCAAAGGGATAATAAGCATTTAAATTCAACATGAAAGACATCTTCCTCTGCAGAGCTCTAGGATGGAATGCAGCCAGGCAGATAAACTATTTAAAAGCCCCTTTAATCAAGACTATTAACAAAGAGATTTTTGTCTTAATTAAAAACATCCCCCATTCAATCACATTAAAGAGAAAGTGATACAAAATGTAATTTATTTTTCTATTTGAAAATTTTAAAAGAACAGTAAGAACATTTTTCCTTGCAGAGAATCACTGCCTCATTAAAAATTATCTTTGAGAGAAGATTAATTTAATCTATTCCACTGCTCACAGTTTCACTTCGAGTGAACTGTTGCATTCATATTTCAATAAAAAAAAAAAAAAAAAAAGGTAGAAAGCCTGCTTTTTTGGATTCCCAAATGTTTAATTTTCTGACCATGAGCAATAATGAGAAAGGAAAATGTTTCTTTTCAGAAATCTCCTGGGGGTCTCAGAAACAGCTATAGAAAACAAGGCTAGCTCACATGTATAGAACATTTTCTTTTTTTGCACTCTTGGAAAGAAACCGTGCTTCAAGGATCCTGTCCATGCTGTTTAAGCTGGAACATTACCATGCACTGGTATCCTGCAAAGCCTTTCAGCAAGCACCAGAAAGAGGAAATGGGGCTTCAGGGCTGAGGTCCAGATAGATTCTCCGTGCAAGGGTGAAGAACAAGAAGAAAATGAACAGGACCAGAGAAACCCCTGAAGATTGGCAGCACCAGGGAAACTTCACACAGAAGCACAACTTCTGCATGGAAATACGTAGTCCTTAGCAGGACAAGGGTTGCTGTTCACTTCATTTTCAGCCAGATTTGCAGACCTGTGTGGTTACAGAGGAAGAGCAGCATATGGGACAGGCATGAAGCCACCCTGAGCCTCCCACACGGTGCTAAGTCTGCCAGCTAAGAAACCTAACCCCAGGCAGGGAAAAATATCACCATCTGACAGAGTTTTGCCCGTGTGAAGCAGCATTTCTCACAAGCTGTGAAGAGGTTCAGTGGGACAGCCGTGGTGACGCCGAGGCCAGATGCTGTTGGTATTACTAGATCTGCAGAGGCTGTAAGGGTCATTTGCTCATCAAGCTCCTGTTTCTTTGCCCTCCTCAGACTTTGATATAGCTTCTCCGCTGTGACTCAATCTTCCTTCCCCGGCTGATACTGACTAAACAGGCAGACGAAGGAGCATATGTGGTAATATATCAGATACAGCAAGGCAGTGACACATCTCGTTTATTGTACAGCCAAGTCAAGGGGCTCTTTACCCCCTCATGATGGCCAAAGTGATCAAATACCCCATTACCTGAACTAAGGAGCCACATCAGAGCAGCAGAACAACCAAGCACCTCTTGGTGAAGTGGAATGGCCCCACACAACCACACGTCCATACAGCTGGGTTCTTCCACATCCTCCTCAGCCCCACCACACTTGGCCACTTTCAAGGGACAAACATTTCAGCTCTGCTGTCTTGTGGTGGTCGCACTAACTTTGTCCTGAGGTAGCTGTCGTCCCACTTGGGCAGAAGCTGCACCATCAGCAGCCTGATGGACTCTTGCAAGAGTACAGTTGCTCCTTATACATAAAATATTATGTATGTATATATTGGCCTACAGACTGCATGGGTGCAGCAGGAAAGAGCATCTGCATCATCATGGCTATCTAAGCTCAAAGTAACCTTTTTGAAGCGGCTCAGTCCCCTCATTTTGCCCTTCAGAAACCTGAGGACATACACTAATTTTCACCAGCCTCTATTGCCTCATTTCTTAGAGGGGATGGACCAGACCTGTGCCAGCTTATGGCAGCAGGCATCTGGCTCCTTCCACCCCGTGAGATGTCATAAGGCTTACTTGCTTACTAAACCCTGAGCATTGCCTTGTTCTGCTTTGTGTATTACAGACAACCTTTCCTTGAACATAACATTTCTGGAGATGCAGAAAAGGCAGAGTCTGCCTGAGGTATTTGTGTGGTTCCCAGGCATTAAATCTATTTACCTGTTACTTGAAACTAAATCCATTTGAGGGTTGTTCGATGGCTTTAGTTAATTAACCAGTTTTTTATTTGATGCTGGTTACTCTTAAATTCAATGAAGATTATTTTCATTATTGTCTCTTCAGATAAGAAGCGATACCTGCGTTTCCTTATATAACCATCTCTTAGTAAGTAGCCCAGAAAGATTCGTTATTGCCTCTTGAAGCTAAAGAAATGTCAGAGGTATTAAAACATTGACATTTTGTTGCAGTTAGATTTGTGAGATAAACCAGACAGCTGCCTGAAGGCAAGCTACAAGATTACTCATCCGATTTTGTTGCTGCGATATGGCATTGTTGCATACAATTACCGTGACTCACTGCCGCTGTTGTCAAGCTCTACACCAACCGCCTTGCTCCATTTGTCATGGTTATAATGGACTCCACAGAGCCAGCACCAGAAACCCGGAGCTACTTGTAATGTTTGTTTTGATAATGAAATAAAGTGCTTCTCAGAATCCTTATTTCCTTCACCAATGCGAAGTGAAATGCTGCATGTGACCCGTTCAGCAGATGCTGAGAAAAAACGTACTAAATCCTTCAGGTGCAGAAGGTTTGGATAGCTCAGCCATGCCTGAATGCCCTAAGAAAATATTTATTTTTATTCTAGAAAAGAAGAAGATTTTTTTTTTCCTTCTTTCTTTCCTTCCTTCCAACCCTCCCAGTCCCATTTTCATTTTATTACAGTCCTTTCCAAGAGCACTGAGTAGATGAGATGAAAATAGGTTGCCTGGTGCCAGGAGGTCATCTGTCTGTGCACTCAAGATGCCTGTTCTTCTTCGTCACCTACTGTGACCTCTGACTATGTGCAGATGTAGCTCTGTCCTTCAGCTTTGTGCCGGTGCCTTTGCACTTCACAGTGTCTAAAATCAGGCAAGATCAAAAATAGGGGCGATGGGAAGGCAGACAGCAGTCATTTCTCAAGACAAAGGCAGAAGCAGCATTGGTTTCTCTTTCTGTTGGCCAGGACAGCCTGCGGGATGCCCTGGACTTACTTCGCCAGTTCTCCAGGCTGTCTGAACTCATTGTAGGTCACCGAGAGACAACTCCTTCACTAGCACATTTCTTCCCTTTCTCTGAATATATGTTTCAGAGACAATGAATACGTCTGGGAATCGCTTTCTTTTTCAGAGCAAGCAAACAGGATGAATGAATAACTTTTTGACAGCTGTAAAAAACAGCTTTACCTGTCTCCATTTGGGGGTAGGAGATGTGCTCTAGCAGTACAGCAATGAGATTTGGCTGACAGTGTCATGACTTCTTCCCTAATCCGTGATCTGGCTGGGCAGGCAAAGCAGTGTAAAAGCAGAGGCCTGAGTAACATTAGGAAACACCATTCCTCAAATTCCCAGCTTTGAATTACAATGATTTTTAAGAACATAAAGCTTACCACCAACATCTCTGCAGTCTTCTTAGTGTAGGGAAACTCTGCTCAAAATCCAGCAAGACATTACCTGCCTCCTCACTGGCTCTGTTCTTGGTCTTCGTGCTCCCACTGGGTTGTGCAAAGGTTCAGAACAGCACTGTAAAACTCAGAGGAACAGCAACATCAGTAGAGGGCCCTCCACATCAGTATACCATGCGTGTTTCCTTTCTTTCAGCTGGAGGTGAGCACATCAGTTCAAAGCCGGATGTCCTCCCAAGAGCATGCTTGAATGCTGTGACAGCTAGTTGATAAGGGAGATGGGGGAAACCCACAAAATGACAAAAACATCTCAGAAGCTGCCAACCTACTGAAAGATATTGATATTTTAATCGATTCAGGTTACACTTGATGATCTCTGGAGATCTTTTTCAACCAATACCATTACGGCTATGTCATATTAAAACCACCTGAAATGTTAGAGGGGAAGCACTGGAAAAATCAATACAAATTTTTTCTAAGGCACCAAGCCGTTGATTACACAAAGACGCAAACCTAGCAGCATTACAGAGCGTGTAGCAGGAACACCATGCCAGAGAGAGGCAGCAACCTGTCTTCTCTGTGGCATCGCAGTCCAAGACCAGAGCAAACCACTCATGACACTGTCCTCTGCAGCTGGACCACTTCCAGACACTGGTTCATTGAGAGAGCCACCACCTCCATCCTGCTTAGGACACTGCATGTATCTCAGTGCAAGTTTAGAAGCATTCTAGTAGCTTATTTCAGCAGTTCTTGTGTATACACATGTGCATCGCTTCCTTTCAGCCAGTTATGTCTACCAGACCTTTTTCTGCCCTGACCACAGCTTGAGTTATGCTGAGTCACAAATTGTGGTTTATTATATATTATTTTTTGCAAAGATTCCAGATTCCTACTAGCTGTAAGCCTATGGATCGGTAGCAAAAGAAGCCATAGATATTTCTATCTCCATGTAAGTCATTTTATATATATATATTAGGTGCAGGTAGTATTTTCTGGCATGACAAGACAGGAAGGAAACATTCTTGTATTCACCTGGATGTGTTTAGAGTCTTCCTTATCTTCTGAAAGGCTTATAGTCCAGCCCCCACAGGAGCATGGTACATTTATCAAGCACATTTATCATTTACAAATTACCTCTCTTTGTGCCTGAGGTCCCCTGGCTACCTTTCCTGCATGGCGCATTTCTGCCTTTGTCTTTGTACTTGCAAACCATGGTAGCTCTGAAAAAAAAAAGAAAAAAGAAAAAAAGAAAAAAAAAAAGAAGAAAAAAAGCAAACTGAGCAAACTGTAACCCCCCACTTTGTAGGACTGGTGCCTCACCTTTCAGCTTTTCACACGGAGCAGAGAGCTCTGCCTGCAAGAGAGCTTGATGTGTTTGCTTGTTTATCTTGCTCGAGACACAGCCATTGTGCAGAAAATCTCAATGAAGTTTAACAATTCCAGTGAACCGTCACCTACCACCTCTGTGAACTACAAACCAACACAGTCTGAAAGTAAACCCTTTGGGCAGAAAGAAAAGGAAGTCAATAGATTAGAGAATGCAGGTATGACTATGAATAAAGCATTTTCCAGCAAGTTTGGAAAACCACCAAAGCAAATAGACAGAGTTATTCATTCCTGACGGGTATTGTATATGTTTCTTCCAGGTGTGTGCATGAGTGTTTATTCATGTGAGAGGAGTTACCCCACTTCTGCCCTTTTAGCACCTCAGTTTTTAGGACTCCCACTAGTTTTCCTCTTTAAACTTTTCTGAACCACGCTGATTGCACAGCAGGATGACCTCTCCCTGTTAGTGCCAACCATTGGGTTTTCTTCATCACAATAAGCAAGAACTGCCTCAGCTTCGAATGACAGGGTTTCTTCAGAGCAGGGGCAATGATTTATTTCTCTCCTTAGCTCATGAAGAGGCCTGACAACAGCAGGGTGTACTCTGAGCTCACAGGAAAGAGACTTAGACTCTCTTGGTCAAGAGCCCTCTCCCTGTCTCTCAAGAGCCCAAAGGCCAGGAAAGTCTATTCAGTAGGACTGCCCCAAATGTGAATTTCAGCCTGTTTTGTGAGTTATCCCATGTTAATTGCCAGCCTGTGCCTTTAGAGGCATGCCCAGCACCTCAGCCTCAATGTGCCCTGTATATCCTGTCCTTGCTGGTGCTATGTCTGGGTTCTCTGCAGCAGATGTATCCCCAGAAAACAAGAGTCAAAACAGTATGTTGCTTTTTTATATCCCTCTGGTATTTACCCAACAGAAAGTCTGTCAGCCAACTGCAGCTTTCACATTTTTACAACTTCAAGACCTCTGCTCATGACACTGGTAAACCAGAACTTTTCTAGGTTAGTTGTTTAGACATCATGTTGTATATCTGTGTTGCCTCGTTTCAACTTTTGTGGTGTTAAACAGTCCATTTGCTCCAGATTGGGCCAGAAAGCTCTAACTGGGCTGTTTCAAGGCAGATGTTTGCATTTGCCCAATGTCTTTCAATTGAAGGAAAGGAATGCCAACATCAGGATTTTCATTAGATTTCACTACATCCTTTTTCGAGAGAGAGTACTTACATTTCTTTGGGTTCACTATCTAGTTGTTATTTGGACATTTGTACTTCCATTGCTAGGCATTCTGAAGTGATCCATTTCCACGTGGATGCTTTAGCTGAAAGCCCATTGTATGAAGTTTCTTTCTGTTGCTCACATATACACTAAAATAAAAGAAATCCAGTAACACAAAAATAAGTTAAACGAGAGAGTAACTGCAAGCCAAAAGCTATGTTTCATTGCTTCGGAAGCAGAAAAAGGCCCACCCGTGAAGTGGCCAAACCTTTCCACTGCCCATGCAGACTTTGGCACAACTCTCTTGTCCTTTGCTCTCCCTGCTTCAAAAAGTCAGCGCTGGAGACTGTCTGATGCCAATGCTTATCCCTGCCCATAGCAGGGGGTTGGAGTTAGATGATCTTTAAGGTCCCTTCCCTCCCAGGCCATTCTGTGGCTGCCACAGCCTCTGCTGTGCTCTCCTGGGGCACATGTACCATGCCACTGCCTAATTGCATCCTTTTCTGCTGGCCACGGAGAACGTTTCCTCATTTCTAACCTGGAGTTCAGCCAAATGGGTTTGAAGGACTTTGTCTAGAAACACAGTCTGTGGCCTAAAGAAGTCCTTTCTTTCCCTGCTCAGGTAGCTTCAGCCCCTACCAGGCTTTCACTTAGCTCTTGCTAAGGGTTTTACATCATGTTTGGTCTCTTACTGCTCCTCAGAAACATTCACAAAACGGAGAGGAGTGAGTTCCTCTCCCTGTGTTTGAGCTGCTCAAGCCTCCACAAGTTGTTTCATGGGAGTGCTCAGCCATTCCCCACCTCTCCCTTGCTGGAAAGCAGTCTGCTTCCCTCCCTCCCAAGGATATCTCACAGCAGCTTACTCCTTTCCTTTAAGTTCCCAACCAAGCTCTCCTTCCACATGATGTCCCCTGGCAGGAGGACACCGTGCTTCTGCCTCAACACCCCCATGTCCTCCACCCTCCTGCAGCAGGCGAGGTCCCCATGTGTCCTGAGCCATGCAAGCCCAACAGGTGAGGTTCAGTGCAGAGTCCTTACCCAGACCTGACCACATCACCTGCAAGGAGGAAAACAAATACCCACCTTTCTCAGAGTAGGCTGCAGCCTCTAGGCTTCATTATGTGTTACTCTTTCCATCAGCAAGAAGGCACGCAGTAAGGCAGCAGAGCCTTGCTGATCAAACAGGGCTGGTGAGAGCATCTCGTGATGTGAAGCCTTAGCACTGCTCTCAGCTGCTTGAATTTCCCCATTTATTTCAGGTGAGGCCTGGGAGACAGCCACACGGCACAGCAGGGCATGTGTTTAAGTGCCTTGCTGAGCACAGGCCAAAGTTTACCTAGAAGAAACAGGCAGAATTTGTGTAAGTGTGGAAAAAAAAGATCTTGTCAGTGAGGCATGGAAATGAGAAACATATCAACAATAAATTAGCCAGAGATGAGCATTTGGGTTCATTTTTCATAGGCTTGCACATCTGGCTAATAATGAGACGTGATCTGCTGCAAGTTCTCTCTCTGTATATGAGCCTCTGTTAGGTGCTTAGGGGGAGGAATCCCCCCATCCCCCTCAGTGCTTCATTTCCTGTTTTAATTTCATAATGGACAGTTTGTGTTTCCTACAAACAATGATGGGATCTGTTTTCTCTCCCGGGAGCCTGCTCTCTGTGTTTGGTAGATGAGCAGGAGAGGGAAGCAGCCTTTAGGAGGAGACGGATGGCACAGCCCCTTGCGCTGTCCGCCGTGATGGGCATGGCAGCACCACAAAGAGCTGCAATCTGCCTCGAAGGGGAAGATTTCCTGTTTACCCCAAAGGACAGCAAGCTGTTTATAGAGGAACACTCTTCCATACTAATGAAAGGGCTTGCGGTCAGATTGCTGGCAGCTGAGCCCAGCCCCAGGCATCCGGCAGGGCCGTCAGGCAGTGCCAGCCTGGGATGCTCTGGGCAGCTGCAGGGGCTCAGGTCTTTCCTCCATGAAGCCCATTCCCTCATCCCAGCCCTGCTGGGCTCCTGCAGATCTCCTCCAGGTGTCAGTGGTCCAGTCCCTTCCCCACTGCTTTCCTTCAAGCCATTCTGTGCCACAAAAGGACATGACTTTGAAGGCTAATGTCATAGGAGTTGCCCAAAAGGCAGTCTCCATCCTCCTGGGGTGGGAGCTGGTGGGATGAGATTCACACCTCTTGTTGGGCACAGGAAAGCAATAACTCCAAGCAAAACCCATGTATGTTCCTGTTTACTCATAAGGAAGTGTGAGGTGTGTGAGTGAGACGTTAAGTAGCCTGTGTTTCACGGGGTGGCTGCCGGGAGTGCACTCGGTAGCTGCTGGAGCCCACGGTTACATTCTGCGGAAGAGATATATGCATAATTCATATACTTTTAATTAAACGGTGGTATCTTGCAATATATTGCATTTACTGTAATTACATTTATCTCCTTACACTCTTCGACCTACTGAAGCATCACTTTTTTTTTCCTTTCGGTTACAATCTGAGCATAAACAACACTAATTGGACTTCAGGGCTTGACGTGCCAAAGGAGCTGTGCCAGGCTCTCCCCACCAGAGGCAGCAGTGCCAGAACAGGATGCCTGAGAGCTACTCAGGGAGCTGCCCTGAGGTGACCCAAAGCTGCAGAAGACCAGTCCTGCACATCCTAAAGCTCCTCTCCTGGGCATTTGGGGATTGCCCGAGCCATTTTGGTGTTGCAGAAAGCTTTCTTTCAGGAGTAGGATGTCCCTAGAAAGAGGAGCCTGGAGTTTTTGCTGCTCTATGCATAGGTAATGTACCCATCTAGATGTGTCCCCCTGAAGACAAAGCTGCTGAAACCTACCAAGACACCCTCTTTCCTACTGAATTCATTGCTGACCTCCATGTGGTTTTATGACAGGCCCCATCAGGTGTAGTGAAGGCAGCAGCTCACCCTCACCTCCCAGCATTTGGGTGTGCTGAGCTGGGCAGGCACGGAGCAGCAGCCTCAGGGACAGCTCTTGTGTGGGAAGGTGTTTCACATCACCACAGGTGGGACACAGGGCTGGCAGTGCTGGGGTTTGAGTCACTGCGCTGACACAGCTCTCCCAGAGGGGGAACCAAAACCACGTAGCTGGGGAAGGATGGGAGATGGATATCCCACAGGTGGGTAAGGGTGTAAATTGCTTGGAAAAATCCTTCTGTCTGCCAGGAGGTCTTTTTTCCTCTCCAGGAAGGTATTTAACAATTTTGGTTTCTTAGCTGCTGCTCTACAGGCTGGATTTTTATTTCTTTATTTTCTCAGCACACATACATAAAGGAAAAAAAAAATACAGTTTCACTGAGACTTACTGGTATGTTTCTCCTGCAAGACCAGGTGGGCGAATCCAGAGGTTTGTTATTGATTGTATTCTGAGAGCAGTAGCTCAGGTTTGGCAGGTGAGAGGTTGTGCTCTTATTAGGAAAAAAAAAAATGCAAAAGAAGAAAAAGAAAAGAAGAGAAGGAGAAAAGCACCCAGCTTGTGCTGCCCTTGTGATTTATTACACATAATATGCTGCAAGATTAACTCCAGCTGAGTTGCTGTGGGAAGAGAGCACTTACTTTGGAGCACCTGAAGGGGATTAACGAGTTGTCAATTTGGCTTTATGAAGAGATGAGATGCTCCTGTTCCTTTCCTGGGGTTCAAAGTTTGGCACAGTAGCATGGAGCACTGTAGCTGATGACCTGATGAGAGGTCACCTCGTGGTGGTTTAATGGCTGTTGAGGTGGCCCAGGCAGCCTGGGAGCAGACCACTGTTGCAGGTGGAGGAACACCTACAGATGGCCAAGGAAAGCAAGGGGCTTCAGAAAGGCCCAAGATTTTCATTGGGGAGGAAACAAAGCCAGAAGTGCTTGCATGTGAGGGGAGGGATGCTGCTGGGGAGTTGAAGGAAGCTGTGAAGGAGTAGAAGGGCACGTGCTGAGCGGAGGAGGGCTAGTGAGGCAGCATGGATGGATGTGAAGGGGCTGAGGAGCAGGTGGGTGGAAGAGAGACCTGTTCATGGTGCCTTGTGTTAACCAGCAAGGTGTCCAACCAGCCTGAACCAACACCCAGCCTCGGCTTGTCAGGCTGGAAATGAAAAAAAATGAACGGGCTCCTGGGCTGTGAAGCTAAACTCAGTCTGTCCCCAGCCCCAAACCCTCCCCTGGTGGTCCTGGAGGTGCCAATGTCCTTCAGCAGGGCAGCACGGGGCCCACTGCTGGAGGTGCTCACAGTCCACCCCCACAAAAAAAAACCTTCCCCCCTCTTGCCAAACTACCCCATGACCTTGCCAAGCCTGGAGCTTGCAGGAGGGCCCAGCTCAGCTGGAGCAGGCAGCAATTAGTGCAGAAATCTCATTGTTTTATTTTGTTGTTCTGGAAAGCAGCAGGGCAAATAATTAAATTTAAAAAATAAACCTCGAGTTCTTTAAATCATTAGGCCCGGCGATGCTAAGCCTCAGCGACTAAGTATCTTTGAGGAAAAGAGTTTATGTTGCATTTTCCTTGCGTTTCCAAAAGAATTTTTGCTAATGAAAGGCAGCAGAAGAGCTGTGCAGGAGGGTAACTGGCTCCTGGCTTGCAGAGCAGGATAATCAGTGCGTGAAGCAGTAAAGATCCACGTGGCTTTCACGCCTCGCTGCTGCGAGATGCTGTGCCAGATACTCTGATGGCAGAGCTGTGTGGCCACTGGAACGGCGTCCCACAGCAACGGTAGAAAGACTCACTTAAAAATACATAACTGGCATCAACTGCGTATGCAATGATGCAGTTCTGTATATGTAGCTTTAGAATAAACTAAAAAGGCAAACATTTTAGGTAGTGCTTTGCTGTCAGTGCACACAGCAGCGGATGGCGTGGGTTTTGCTGCTCTCTTTTGGGGCTTGTTCCACCAGCACAGGCGCCTTCCTGCCCCTCTCTGTGGCAGGTTGTGTGCAGCACAGCCAGGCTGGGAGCTATTGTCTTATCTTCCCCCCGCCGAGTCAATCGTGCCTGCACGATGACTGTTTTCTGCTCTAGAAAGCATGTCCCCTGAGAATTTATCTTAACGGCCTTGTGTCCAGTCCCATAGATCAGTCATCTGATAATAAAACCAGAAATGGTTCAGATTTACATCTCTGAAGTCCTCACGCTTCTCCATCTCAATGAAGTTATACAGGAGTGTTTGCTGACCTCTTAGAAGACAGCTGCTCATTCCCCTGCACCCCAGGACACTATTTCTTTAGCAAAGACATGTATTAAGGGAATTAATTAACTACGTTTGCTGGCTGGATAATCAATTTTCTTGGAATAAATTGAGCACTGATGGAAGAACGTTGATCTGTTGCTTTCCCTGCACAGAGATTAAAAATAGATGAATACCCAGCTGGAGAAATCGTGATGGGATCATATTCCTTCCCAATATAGAGTTTTGGCAACCTCAGAAAACGGGGTGAATGTTACTGGGATTTCATTTCATAAATGCACTGTGAAAGTGAATGTCAAAACATCCTGATTTAGAGATCTTTGAACAAAAGGAAAGGGAAGTGTTTCATTCTGAAGCAACTTTTTATTTAGTCATTTAAAAACCAGCAAAATCAAGGGAAAATCTAAGTGAAATGTTTTAGTTGTGTGAAAACAAAAGCTATTTAAGATTCTATTTAATAATACTTCTTAAACATGTTTATTTATTTATTATGTGTTCCTTCATAGATCAATTTAATAAACTGGGGTCTCCCAGCACTGTGTCAAGCGGATGCTTTCTCCCCACCCCTCCATTCCAGTAGTGATTTTGCCACCTGTTGAGCCCCAGCTCAAAGACCAGCAGCATGCTATGGTTCATGCTTCTTTACTTTGGTCCTGACAATGTTTCATCACTCTAGTTTTCATCGACACGTGCCCCAGCTAATGATCCGACTGGCATGCTACAATGCAACCTGGTGTTTCCTTTATATATATATGTATTGCCCCCATGCCTCCTAAGTCACTGATTTGACTACAAACTGCTCGGACTCTCGGGTTTATTTTTCATTTCATTTATTGCAGGCATGAATACAGGAACAGGTAAACAGCTGAGCCGTAAAAGTTTCTCTCCAGGAATGTTTTCAACAAAATGCCATCAAATACTGCCTGGTGATACACGCTACTACTAGGATGGAACAAAACGATGTGAGCAATCTTTCTTTAAAGCTGCTACCCACCAGTCAAAGCTGCAGCTGCCAAAGAAGCCTTCTCCTCCACTTGCTTGCTCCCTTCCCTCCTTCTCCCTGCAGGTTCTTTTACGGCACTTAACTTTACAAAACACAGTTGTGAGGCTGATCTTACATGCAATTACAGATCAGCACCAGTATATTTATTGCAAACTCCTTGAACATCAGGACATCAAAAAAAAAAAAGTTAAAAAAAAAAAAGAAAAAGGGAAAAGAAAGAAACAATATTTGATTGCATAATTACAAATAGTTTTTTGTAGCCAATGAACCAGAAATGTATTCAGGAAAAAGAAAAAAAAAAAAAAAAAAAGAAAAAAAAAAAAAAAAAAAGAAAAACAGGATATTTGTAAACAGTTCAAACAAAACATGATGCTGCCTCCAGTGAAACATTTCACTGCATTGCCAGCTCTGTTTCAAATGGGCACGTAGGCAACCTGTTGCAAGAGAGTTGTGAAGCCATGAGCTGAAACTTCTGAGGAGTTAATTTTCAAACATTGCACTTTTCAGGGTCTGAGCACACTTGCAACGTGAAAAATCTGCACACACTGTGGGATCTGATAGAGATTTGGGATCTCAAACAGCATTTCTTAAGAAAACCTGGTTATCCCTTTTAAAACGAAATAGTGAAACACCAGAACCGCACAAAACCAAACCACAACTGGTTGTCTCCCGTGAGAGACTGCAACATGAGAAAATATTCAACTCCTTGCATAGCTATTTAAATGGCCAATAAATTTTGCTGGAATCACCCAAGCACGACAACATTGCGTTCTGCCACTTTGCGACTTCACACTTGAAAGCTGGGCTCTGCTGACGGGGTCGGAGCACCCCGGGGCACTACCCCAGGAGGGCTTTGCTGGCGTGGTGATAGCAGAGGGTTCACCACCAGCTGCTCCCAGACTGGACACAGCTCTAATGATGCCTCCGAGCTTCTGCCACCGTAAGCTCTCCCAGCTCTCTGCTCTCCCCGTAAGGGATAAAAGCTGTTCTGACAACAGGGTGTTTTTGGTGGTGTGTTTACACCTAACGTGCAAGGCTTTTGCTGGCAGAGCTATGTCGATCACAAATCGTACCTCAAAGGACCCCTGGATGATGGAGCCGTGTTGGCAAGGGCTTGCAATGTAGACCTAACCAGAGGGACCGAGAGCAGGATTCATCTCACTTAACTTTAAGCAATACAAAGGTAGACTTTTAAGTCAGAGGCACCTCCAGAAGGCAGTCCCTCTCACCTCTCTTCAGGCGAGAGTTGGGCACGTAACGTTAGGTGAGATGAACCCTTTCCCAGGAGAGCTGAAAAGACAGACTCTTTTCAGCCACCCCTTTTTGTCACCAGCTCTGGAGACCATGCTTCAGAAGGCTGCTGTTTAAATGCGTTATCTTTACACGTGTCAATGTACATGATAATGATAGCCTGTGCTGGGCTTCATGCTGCCACAACTACATATGCAAGCTCATTAAAGCTAGCTCAGATACCTCTGCACTATTATATAGACATACCTTCAGGCAGAGTATCCTTTAACACCTGTAAAGTTAAAGCCTGGGGGCAAATCTAGACTATGTGCCCCTCGGCTACGTTCACGTTGACGTTGTCTTGTTTGCAGTAGTTTTGGGTAACAGGTGTCCTGACACTGTAATTCCCAACCAGAGGCGAGGCAGGAGTGTTTATTCAAAGGATGTGAAAACTGAGACGCTTAAGCGTGGCTGAAGAAAGTACATAGTAAGAAAGAACAACGTGATGGCATTCTGCAGTTAAAAGCCGAGTTCGGTATCAGTCAAACATTTTGAATAAAGCTCCATTAGACTGCAGAATAGGAAACAGTGGCAGCCAGTGGATAAGACACTAAAACAAGACAAGGCAACGTACGTGGGGTTGTTCTGTGGGACCCATCCCACCGGAACTGAGTGGCCACACGAGCCTTTCCCTCTCCATCTGGGGGCACCAAGGAGGGAGCACTCTGCCCTCTCCCAGCTATGCCAGAGCACACCCCAGCCACGGAGACCTGGCCACTGCAAAGTCACCTTGGTTCGTGTTTTTTTTTGTTTGTTTGTTTGTTTGTTTTCCAGTTCTGAGCAGTTCAGCTTAAGAATTTTTATACAACAGGAGTAAAATCCTGCATTCAAAATAATAAACTAATAGCTCGTTTAAGAGCCAGAAAATCAGATGGGCTGGTCTGAGTCAGGCATTCCGTTTCGCTAAAGGCTTTTGCATATGTGACCAGACTGCCCCAATGCAGGTAATTGGATGTCTGTCCCCAGACCTGAAGGCATATTGCAGGGTTCCTAATGTCCATTCCAAGGCAATCAGTACAACCAAAGGGTGTGCTCAGATCTGTTTTCTTCTTGATAATGACTTTGTGAAACAGCTGCCAATGCACATACAACTGGGGGCTGTCTAACAGCAGGCAGCAGACCAGATTTCAGCTAGGGTCAGTGTTGTGCCATTCCTAAACCTACTTGGCTTTCCTCTCCCAAAACAGCATCTCTGATTAGATTTTTCTTTTACTTATTCTTCCAATGCTCAGTTTTACTTGGGTGCAGACAAAAGGTGCTGTCGCTTCTACCTCTACCAGCACCTTCTAGGAGGCAGTGAGCAGAGAATAATGGGAAACAGAATATTTTCACCTCCTTTCTGATCTCTTCACAGGGATTTAAAGTTCCTAGTTAATTTTTAATAACCCTGGGTTGATGGAGAGGTACACGGATACATAAGGAACAGAAATGCCTTTGCACTGTAACTAAAAGACGGACGGTGTACAGGTTGTATCTGATTACCCAGCAAAGCCATCTGAGTGCTCTGAAATCTGCAATCCAGGTGTCTTTCTATGACTCCTTGTGCCCATTCCTCATGTTGAGCTACTTCATTACATTTTGCATTGCAGGTTTCTACCTAACACTTGCGCTGTCTGTTTTGCCCCATCTTACGGCAACGGGAAAGGTTTGGGGTTGCCAGATTTGAACTGGGGAGCCTAATGCTAGTTTCTTGTCCCAGTGAATATAAAATAGACAAGTCATTTTATACCTCTGACATTGCAATCCACAGTCCTATAATGCTCTCAAGATTATCTCATTTCAGCAAAAGAGCACAAGCTAACTCTGAAGGAAACTCAGTCTCACAGCAGTCACTTCCCAGCCTCCACACAAGCAAACGGGTTAAGCTGAGATAAAGCCATCATAATCAGTACCAAATTAAGGACAATCTTTTATCTTAATACAAACCAGAGAACACAGTGTACAGAGTAACAGAAAAATAAACATCTTCAGCCATACAAAACGCACAAAAGCTTTCCTGTTGGAATAGTACCTTGTAGCTGACGGTCAGTTGGTGGTGGCTTTGTAGATAACCCTGCACTGCTGAACAGGGGGAAATGGAGAACTATATTTTTTTTTTAAATTTGTTTTTGAATAGGAAACTGTTGGTCGCGTTACCTGCATGCCACAAACACACTCCTTGAGGTCCTGCTAACAGGGGAACACCCACCACCGAACCTTGTGCCTGAGACCTTCCCACCACAAGCGCAGGCGGCCTGCGTGCGTGAAGCCAACCTTCAAGGCCTTGCCCCTAGGGATGTGCTGATTAGTAGTGTGAAAAATGGGTAGAGACACAGCTAGGCCACAAACTATTGTTATTTTTCCATGTGATCCATCCATTACTGCTGGTCAGGAAGGTGGTTTGTCTATCCAGGAGGGAAAACACCCTCTTTGTATAGGCTGTGCCCACGCTGATGCGGCTCTGCAAACCTCCAGCGCAGGGCAGAAACCCTCTGAGTGTGGGCAGGCCCTCGTGCCTAGGCAACCTGGAGAAGTTAAAACTTCCCACTGAGTTAAAAAAAGTCAGTATCAAGCTAGAAAGTCAGTAGCAAATTACTTTAAACAACTGTTTTTTTTTAATCTTTAATGGAAATAAAGTAAGATTTAGTTTCAGGTTTAGGTCAAGACGGCGGACTATAGGGAGCGTTGGGTGTGTATACCTGTACGGAGGGGTGTCCTCCCCCTTGCAGCTATTTATATCTCTGAGTAAAGGTTAAGGTTAGGAATTTAATAAGACAGCCATTCGTTTTTTCTGTGGAGACTAACAGTCCTGGGGTTAGGATGTAATAATCATTCTTCTGCTTTAAAAATGATTCTTTAACAAATAGCAGTAGCTCATTGCAATTTTCAGTTGTACAAAATGACATATTTTCTATGTTACTATCAAAATATTCTGCATAACATTAATTTCTGTGCACTTATTAACATATGTACAGAACAGTGTTTCCCAATAGAAATCAGTATGCTCCTTGCTGATCCTTTTTGCCCTAGATTTACCAAAACCAAACCTGAAATTAACTGTGTTAATAGTATAAAATCTCAGGAGAGACAAAGGATTGAAGGTTTATTTCCCAGCAGCAAACGAATAAAGGAACTCCTTCAAGTTAAAGTCTAGCCGAGACTTAATTTTAACCGACCGTGGTGAATCCAGGCGAGTCAGGAATATCACACGTTTTCCCGATGCATTATGTTGAGTACACAGAAGCAGAGGAATGTAAACAGACAGAAGGCACATGAAAGGCCCCAATCCATTCTCCATCTGACGGAAGCGAGAATTTCATAATTCTGTCATCAAGAGTCTTTTCATCATTTTCTCTCTCTCAAGTTCACGCCTCAGAGTCTCAGCGCTGTGTAATTAATGCACAAACAGCCAATTATGGGAACAACAATAAGTCTCAAATTTCAATTTAAAATAATTAACATTTTCAAAATACCAAAGGAGGGGGAAAAAGGTCAAACTCAATTCAGTGAAAAGCTGATAACTGATGGCTGATTCAACAACAAGTACCGCTTGATATTTCTGAAGAGCAAACAGAAGCAAGAAAAAGGACACAAAAAGACCCACATGGCAAAACAGTTTATGTTTTAACCTCATCCCCATTAAAGGCTGCCGATTTCAAAGGAAGCTGGACTAGGACTCTAAAAATAAAACAAAGCAGCTACAGTAAATGCCAACATACAAAAGACTGATGTTACAGCCCTCTGCTCCTCAGCATGGTTTGAGCTGGGGGGGACAGCTATGTAAACTGAATTTAGCACAGCCTTACTTCACCTGCACCCATCAGGGTGGAGAAGCACAGCCTGAATGTCCTCGCTCTCACATCGAATTGCTCTCGAGCCTGTGGGCTCTGCAGCACTGGGAGTGCCCTGGGCTGCTGATCCCATCTTTTTAATAAATAGCATGGGGAAGAAAACCAACTGCTGGCTGTGTTGTTCTGGGAATTAAGCAGCTAATGCGTGGAAAGCAGTTTGCAGACATTTTGTTCATAGACAAGGCAGGGGTGGAATCACTCATTTGAGCTGGGGACATCCTCTGGAAGCTGAGCTCAGTACTGCAGCTTCAGAACTACACTTCTACCATTATGATGTATTTTTAGGTGAGTTAGCAATGATGACCAAATGTGCAAGTGCAATTAAACCAACATCTGCCAAAATAGTTAACAAATGAAAGTGGGAATTGACTGTAAATCCAAAAGTAAAAAAGGCTAATGTATTATGATGCCAAGGAACGATTTCTGTCTTCAGCATAAGCTTAGGACTTCTTGTGCTCCAGAAGTATTGAGTACATCCACTCCTGCATTTGTATTCAGTAAATTATCAGCTTGGGAAATTCAGCTTTGATTAAACTCTGGAATAAGAAGCCAACATGCAAAACCAGCAGGATGGGAGAATAGAAACTGAACGCAGCTGCTTGTGGAAAGATGGAATGGCATTTTATTTCCCTGAAAAACTATAAGAAAGGCCACTGTAGCCTGACATTGCAAAACAAAACAAAACAAAACAAAACAAAACAAAACATACAAACACAAAAATGAAAAAACAATCAGTGTCTGCTTTTCATTTAGAAGAGCAGGTATTTCTCAACCTTAGCTTTCCCCCACGGACATTTAATTTCAAAAAACAAATTGCGACAGCGATTATTAAAGGAAAACCTTTGTGGTTCATGGGAAATGACTTGCCTGAGGAAAATCTGTAAAACCCTTTCTCTACAGGCCATTGGCTGTAGAAATGGTACACTGCTGGCTGCAGCTGTTAATTAATTTATTTTTTTTTTTCTCAGAGCAAATGGGAAGTATAGATATTTCTTTACAAAGCTCACTTATTCTGAAGTAGGTGTCAAGCAGCAACTCAAAATCTTTTGGTATCAGCAGAAAAGGCACTTTAGAAATAAGGTGAATTATCCCCACTGTAATTATGATAGAAAAAGAGAAATCTGGCTGACTCCCTCACTGCACAGAGCATCATAGCATTGCTGTGAAAGAACTGCACAGTACCTGTCCGCCAGCGAAATTGGTTTATGTGACGTGTATATTGTCTGCACCGTTGGAGTCGGTATAGTCTCTGCCAGAGATCTCAGGACGGGCGATTTTGCTACCGGCGATAGCTTAGGCGACGACTGCACCACGCAGCACTGCAATTTGCTGTCCGTAAATTCTGCCTACAACAAAAAAAATGCATACAGACACGGAAGGGAAAGGTGTAGGTTAGCTTCTACTGCTCTTGTGTACTTTCACCACCCAATTCATTGCCAAACACTCAGTAGCAGCGAGCCCTAAAGGGAAGAGGAGGCTGTAGCTAGAGCTGCCCAGTGCAACATCTGTGGGCACCAAACAGGCTGCCCCACTGGCAGCTGTGCCCGAGGATGAGCCTGATGGCTCTGTGAGATGAAAACACCCTGTGTGGGACTGGCAGCGTTCAGATGAAAGGCATAATCAGTCTGGAGAATGCTGCTTATGATTGCGTTTTCCCTAAAAACACAGCAGCGTGCTGATGAGAAGGGTTTTCTGGACTGTTCTTCACAAGTTGTGTTCAATTTGCTTTGTGGATCCTCTGACTACACTGTTTTGTGGCACCCACTTATAGTCTAGGTTTCAAAGTCCCCATCCCTCAAGAGGAATTCCAAGGTTGGAAGTGCTGGTTACAGACAAATGGCCAAATCTTTCAGGTGAGGCAGGTCAGTACCACAGGATTACAGCAAAGACCAACCCTCCTATGTGGCTGGGAGGGAGGGGATAAACCTTAAAAATAAATTAGCCCTGCCTTGTGTTTTGGCAAGCATCATTTCTCATGCCAAACCACTGTAACTAGTGCCTACAGTGCTTGCATGGCCCTGACCTGGGAAGGGCACAGAGCAACTTCAGTTCATCAGTGTGTTGGGACAACTAGGGGATGCACCTGCTGGCACCAGCTCAATTTCTGTCGTGGCAGCTCTCCCTCCTGTTCAGACTTTGTGGCAGGGAGGAAGAAAAGTCACTGTCATAAGGGAGCATATGATAGTGATACAGCTCTTTGAATAGCAACTTTTTCTTAATTAGCTCTCAAAATTTGCAAGCCACGTAGTATTAATCTAAACAAACAAACCAGTTTAGTCATTGGGACAATTATTTGAGCCCAGGAAGGAATGGCTGTGGTAGGTTTGCTCGCTTATTCTATTTTTTTAGCATGTCCCTGCTCGTGTTTCAACTAAAAGCATGTGATATGCTCCGAGACAAGCTCTGAAGCAATTCCATTAATTCCACAAAATTAATCAAAATGGAAAACATAAAACCTACTAAAGAAAGCCTCCCTCTTCAACCTTGGTCAATTTTATGTGCAAATACTGGCTAACGCAGCCTGTTCAAACTTCTCTGTCATTCAGCTTTCAGAACTCAGCCTTACAGGCTACAGGGATATGGGGTTTGGTGTTCCTCGCACAGGATCCCCATCCTCTGAGGGCTGCCAGGTGATACTCATGGCAAGAGCATGAGACATCACCCTGTGAGGCTGAGGTAAATTCTCCCAGCCTCATTGAAATCGGCAGAACTATGGCAAATTACACTTGCTGAAGATTTGTCCTGAATCCTCAAGTGTGTTTGCTCCAGATAATGGTTTTACTGTATATATCCAAAGCATCTTTTAATAACTGTTTACAGAGTATATTTGAAAATATATATATTTAGTTGGTTTAAACAGATATAATTCCATTAATTTTAAGTTTATGTGACTTATTCCCACTGAGAATATAGTCATCAAGCCATGCCTTTTCAGAGGAAGTCTCTGAAACTCAGGGGGGGTTCCTGGCACGAACTTTCTTTTTAAGCATTCCAGGAAAACAAGTTCTCTATTTTTTCCTCAACACCAGTGGACATGGAGAATCCCTTTGCTCAGTAACATTTCAATGTTTTGCTCCAAGCAAAATAAATGAATAAATAAGTAAAAGTGAAGGGGGAGCAAGGGGAAAAAAAAAAAAAAAAAAAAAAAAAGGAAAGAAAAAAAAAAGGAGTCTGAAATGCTGATAGCTGTGTGCGACTGGAGGACACTCAGAGATAGATCTTGCTAGGTGCAAGACCTAGCACTGATCTAGAGCTTTCCCTTACAGCTTCCCTCTGGGGTTCAGCTACCTCCAAGCCCCTGGAAGAGCCCATGCATCAGGGTGGACTGAAACACTGCTGAGGAGAAGCACGTCTCCTTGGGCTGGGACAAAGGGCCATGAAACACAGGACCAAAGCGTAATTAACCTTCCTAATTGCTCTCCCATCCTCATGCAGTCCCCCAGGTAGTGGCTGGTTTACCAGCTGGTTTACCAAAGATATTTGTACATAACTTACTTAAAGCAATGCATGGGATTTCATGATTAGGTTTTTATTGTAATGGTGTTTGAAATGTCTGTGATCTAGATTCTGCCACCCCTGCCCAGGAAAATGAGAGAAAGGGAGAATTTCTGAAAACTGAGTTTGAACTTTCCTTCTTTTCTCCTGTGAGTATAACAAAAATTTCAGCATTTGAATTTGCCATGAAGTAACCACTTTCTACAGGATGGAAATAGCTGTGGAGAAAACATATCTGGGTAGCTTCTGTTTGGATTTTAAAGTTCTATGCCCACCAATGGAAAAAAAAAAATAATTAATATTGCTCTCCTATATTTTACTTTCATTATAATCATCATAGGGAGAAAAATAATTTCCTGACAATTATTACCTTTTAATAGGAAAGCTATTCTGGGCAAATCTTTTTGCTTACATAAAGCACTGTGATGAAAGATACGAACAGTGTAACTTTGGCTTAGGTTTTACAACAGACATACTATCTGGACTTGGGCAATCTAGTGAAAAGTTGCTGTGATATATTCCTTTTAGGATTCATTTATTAAAAGCTCAACAGTAGCACTGACTTATCCTGTGGAGCCTGACCAACTCTGGCTTTGAAATACTTAGGTGGAGAAAAGCAGCATTTAGATCCAATCCCACGATCAGGTTTATTGTGAAAGAAAAGCCTCGCCCTTTAATTCATTAAGTGCAGACAGTCACTGCACGTGGCCCAACAGAGACTGAAGTTGCTTGTCTCTGATCATATGCTAGATATAGATCAGAGATACCAGTAAAACTTAACGTTAAAGGCTGAAATGCTTCATTCTGTCAGTGTAATTTAAAACAAACAAACAAAACAAACTAATAAACTATAAGCCAGTTGTTGCGGTTTACAATTAGAAGCTGGGAATTTTTCTTACAGACCAGAATCCATTCTCCCATTGGAAAGGACGGGAAAGGTTATAATTAGAGTCCCACATCACATATTCCATTATATCAAGTCCTCCAAAAATCTTTCAGAACGCTCTGAATTGCCTGAGTAGATCATTTTGTCACACTTATTATTACATAAATACCCTACCCTTAAAGTAGGGCTTGGACTGGACTTTATTTTGGAGTGGTCAAATAATTGTTTCTGTTCGCATGTAGTTTACCTTACCGAAAAAAACTAAATCCCAACTTCTGTGAAAGCTTAGTAAGAATTAAGTTCAATATTTGATTCAGATTATCAAGTAAACACAAGAGTTTATACAAGGATATCATTGTAGTCGTCAGCACACTAACCATAATTATTCCTTAAAATTCAGATGCAAATTCAATGAAAATCAGGCCCCTTTTTGTGATGGCACAGCAAGCAGTTTCAGGCAGCAGGCCATGCAGTCGCTAGACAGAGGACTGAGTCATTCCCACTCCATTGGAGTGACACTACGGAGCTTCACGAGTCCTGAACTGAACAGCATTTGGGGTCTGACTGCATTAGCAGCGAGCCCTGACCTTTAACTCTTAGTCCTCTGTCTAGTAAGCAGCAACGTCTGAATGCAGGCAAGTTAATTATTTGCATAATGGGAATATTTAACAGATTTTCACTCTAAATTCTGCTTGGAATTTATCTCTTTTTTTTTTTTTTTTTTTTTTTTTTGAGGACTACTTAACACATAAGTTTCTGAGACTGTTAAAAAAAAGTCACTTGGAAGTGCATTAAATACACAGTTTTTTAGTTGCACATTCTACTTACAGAAAACTGTGGTACTGTTGTAAAAGGATCGAAAAAAGGATTAGATGTATCAGCAGGGAATGTCTTTATCTTTAAAAAAGATAAAGAAAAAGATGTTACTTTCAGAGCATAAAAATGGAAAAGAAAAAAAAAAAAGCAGCAAAGCATTGCAACTATAGTGACATACCAACAAATTAGAGCAGTTCAGCAGCCCTTGGACCAGACCAAAAAAGACCCCTCCAAAAATGCATACAGAAACCTGATGATGAATAGTCAAAGCATAAATATGAAAACCTAATAGACTGATTTTTACCACGTAATTAAATTTGTTGTGCAGGTTCTGAGCTGATTGCATACAATATACCTTCCAATTCTGTAAACAGTCACTGGATCATTACCTGCTTCCTTCAGCGAGCACTGCATTTAAAAATATGCAATATGAAGTGCAGAAGCAATTTTTTACAGTGCAGAAACTTCAGTTGAAGAACTTTACATATGCTTTACATATACGCTTTACATATTTTACTCCCCCACATTTTCAGTTACACAGTTGTTGTGCAAGACAAACGATCACATAAGATGGGATCGAAAGATAACAGTATGCAAAATAAAAGATATGCACGGACAACTGTTTGTTTCAGGCAGCTGCTGGGATCTGGCTGTCTGCCTGTGTCAAGCGCTGGGCTGTGCTCAAGGATGAGCTCAGGAGGCTTTTATTACAGGACCTGGAATGGACAGGTTAGAGACCAGCACGTCCCTGCATGGAGAAAACTCAGCCTAGAGCATATTGTCACTGCCCCAGGCCCTGCTGGAAGTCACTCCTGCCCTGAAAATTATTTCAAATGTCCATGGAAATTAAAGAAATATTCAAAGTGGCAACAACCTCTGCCCTGCTCCATTGCGAGTGATGCTTCCTCTTTGGAATGCAGACATTATTCATGCCTTCAAAGGGAGGACAAAATATCAAATGCAGGTTTTGAACCACTCTTCATGCTTTCCATTTGGAAAAACACATTTTTCAGTGTACAGGTGTGTTTTTCACTTTATTATAGAAACCGCTGTGCATTTGTTATGCATGTATTCCAGCATAATTTGCTAACTACAGCTATGTAACTGCTGTTGAATAACCAGGAAAGCTACCCTGAATGCCCTAAGCCCTTGTAAGCCAAAGCAAAACCTGAAATTATGACGTCAGATATAATTAAGTAAATATATAGTGTTTATTTTGCAAATAAAATAACAGAAACATATTTGGCTTATAAGGATGCCAAGGGAAATTAACAGCCATCTGTAGGCCTGCTTCTGCGAACATGTGGCGTTAGTCTTGGCATTAATCGTTGGGCTTCTTAAACATGAGGAGTATAGATGGGAAAAATACAGCTCAACATTTAAACACCTTTTTTTAACAGAACAGAGGTGGCTATAAATCAATCATACAGGTGCAAGCAAACAAACAGCTGTGCAAGGGAGAAATTCATTTAAATCATAATTTTCTATGCAAACACTTAAAAGAAAATTTCACACTTTTTTATAGATGTATATTTCTGTCAGCAAAGTGTACGTATACTATACTGCTGGTTGAATCTACTCATCACATTGAAGCAATAGCTCCTTGCAAGTACAAACAGTACAAAACATAAGCATACCCCATTGTAAATCCCATCTTTTAACCAAAGGCAAAGCAACACCGGGATGGGAAGTTGGTTGTTCATGTGCGTTTTTGAGTCTGATATACCACGGCCAAACTTTTTTCTCATTTTGCAGATTGGGCTCATTAAGGAAATGAAGTGCAGTTCCTGAATATAGCAAAGGAAAAGGATGCAGAACAATTTTTGGGCCCCCTGGGATTTGGGATATTTCAGGACGCCAGCCGGCCCTGGCTGCACGCCGAGGCACACAGTGGTGCAGAGCACCCTCTTGCAAAATCAGCGCTGCGACCCATGCGTGTGGCTGAGGCCAGCCTGCCTATCAAAACCCGGCAAAAAGCAGTTAATCTGGCTTAGTTATCAGCATGACTTCCCCTCCAGCAGGGCTGCGTTTATTTAATCTCAGGAACAAGGCAATCCCGACAAATGAAGGGCTCTGTGGGCTCTAAACCCACCAATTTCCGGCATCTGAATGAAACTGAAAACAGAAATTAAGGAACAGAGGGCGGAAAAAAAGCACGCTTGTTTTCCATTTAAGAGTGAGAAACAGAAACCATCCCACTCAGCCTTTAGGATTTAGTCTTTCTTTTTCTTGTTTCCTTATGAGAAGAGGCCGGTGCTGCTCAGATGGCACAACGGCGTTTGTTGGCTTGCCTTGGCCTGGTTGGCCCTGGCCTGGACCTTGATAAGACCACTACTGCTGTCTGCTCAGCACCAGTCCTTAACTATTCACAGCTTGGTTCTTTTCAGGAGGAAAAGAAAATCCTAATCCACATAATTGCAGAAAAAAAATCCATATATTCAAAAACACTTTTCAGACTGAGGCTAAGGTAGGACGGTGAGACAGTAAGGGAAGGCACCAGTTAGGCAACTGGCTTATGTAAAATTGAATTTGGAAACCTCAAAGACCACTTCACCCACACCTTGGCCTCCTTGTCCTGCGTGTCCACCCTGGCCAGCAGTGTTGTGAGGCGAGCAGCAGCCAGCAGCACCTGCCAGCAGGAAGCAAACCCTGCCTGTTCCTGCCCCACCACACAAGGGCAGTGGTGCTGGGTGCGAGTGTCTTCCTGATCCTGGCATTGTGGATGAGTTTATTGCATGGTGTCAACATTCAGAGTAGCTCAGAAAGCAATACTATTCCCTCACCAGAACAAGAGGCCAAGACCTAAATGTTGCCACCTGAGGGCTGAGAATGAAAGAAGAACAGACCCATCTACCACAAACCTGTAGTTTCTCCACCCTTGGAGACCTTCAGGAGCTTCCGGGCTTCACTTGGGACTGTGAATGTAAGGGGACGAGAGAGAGAAGGTGGGTAGCTCCGTGTGTAGGACAGTCTCGCACAGCTGAACCGTAGCTGCTCAGACTAGCAAAACACAGTAGCTGCTAGTGGACTGTCAACTGATGGGCTGCTGAGGTATGCTGTCTGCTTCAGTATAAAACAAACCAAGAGAAAACAGCTTTAAAGCACACAACTGGGCACAAAAATCCTCATGCTGGCAGATGGAGTGGCAACAGTGTCCACACTGCAGAGCTGTGCATTCCAGCAGCACCTTGCGTTCTGAGGGCTTGTTTCACAACCTCACATGCCTCTAGCTTGAAAGGTCAGGGAGCACTACCATAGCAGAACTATTTTGGACAAGTGTCTTCTTGTCTAGAATATTTGGCTTGGCAAGTTGAGAATTTACCAAGCCTAAAAGAACACTTGGCTCAAGAAAGAAATAAAGGGAGGAAGGAAGGAAGAGAGAAGGAAGGAAGGAAGGAAGGAAGGAAGGAAGGAAGGAAGGAAGGAAGGAAGGAAGGAAGGAAGGAAGGAAGGAAGGAAGGAAGGAAGGAAGGAAGGAAGGAAGGAAGGAAGGAAGGAAGGAAGGAAGGAAGGAAGGAAGGAAGGAAGAGGAAGAAGTTACATAAAAATTATCTGTGGATAATTTTCTGCTAGTACTCAAAAATTCTTGTTGCACTCAGCCATCCATGGGGCTGACACATTTTGGAGGTATCTGTCACAACCAGAAAGAACTAACAGCACTAGCTTTCCTTGATATTTATACTGCAGGGAAGACTGAAGGAGGGTGAAGGAAGAAAAGGGACAACATAATAAGAACTTTCTCCTTTTCATGTGTGCAAAAACGTCTTCTGGACAGCGTTTAAAATCTCGGTAAGAACACTTGTACACATTTTAAGTGGGTTAGAAGAAAAAAAAATATGAAATGTTCTCATAAAAGCAAACTGAACTTGGAGAGACAAAGAAGGAGTATTCCCACCTGAAATGAAAACAGCAGGAGAGTTGTGGAAAATGAGTTAGTAGTTGGAATGTGTTAATTGAAATAAAATGAGCTATTTCTGGTATTTCTATCAGAGGGGAATATTATAAATGTCCTTGCTGTTCCAAAAAAAATGACACTTCGGGGAACAGCAGGCTTAATTTGGGTATGTTCTTCTACATTTAGAGTACCCCGTGTATCCACTGCCCTGCCACAACAGCTTCTCCTTCTGCAAGGGTCTGATAAGCTGTTGTGCTGTTGACAGACAAATGTTCTTCACTTCACTTGGCTTCACCCCCATCCCATGCACCTTGACCTTACAATATGCTGGAGAAGCTGTGTGCTGTCAGTGGGTTTACACAAGACAAACACTTCGCTAAGTTCCTGTGCCTTGGAGCAGAAGCAGAGCTGCTGACACCTGAAATGGTGCCGTAAACACATCTCTCAGTATACACATACAGCCAGAGGAATATTCGGTGGTGCTTTATTTAAAAACGCATGCTATAAGTTAAATACCATCACATCCGTACAGCACAGAGGTGAGATTCATTTCGACTTGTCAAACTAGAAAAAATCAGCAACTGAAACTCCTGGAGTAAATTGCATTAGCATTTCCCAGTCCTGATGAGTGATACGACTTAAAAACCATGAGTTATCTATTAGACCCACTTTCCAAAAGCAGTGATAGGATTCTGAACCCTGCAATTATTCAGTAAAGCTCCATTTCTGCTGTCATATCATTTTGGTGGCTATTTCCATAATGAGGCGGAAAATGTGAAAACAAAGATTTTCTGGTATTTTTCACCACACAGTACCTTCATGGCCAAACAAACTATTTTGAGTGGAAGTAGTTCTTGGCTCCAATGACCACTCCACATAACATTAACGCCAGCTCATTCCCTTTGTGTGTGGCAACAAAAATGACATGACAGGCAGGCATGCATAGTCGCTGCCTGGGTACACAAGGCAAAAATCAGCCTAAATTATGAACTTGTGACAGGATGGAGATGTAAACCAGCAATACCATGGGCTAATCATTCTTGGAAAAGGCTGTGTGAACTAAATGCCCTGATGAACCAAACTTGGTGTGAATCCCATACGTGCTGCATCCCAGGCCACCTTCTTCTCAAGGAAGGCAGGATGCTTTCTGCTTGTCGAAGTGATATCCAGGTGTCAGTGTCAGCAG